GAAATTTCAAGGAAAAACGAAATATTGAACGCATCCTTGAAACAATATGCAGCCGTAATTTGTCTATCGGCCAAAATGACATATTTTCGCTCTCGATTCGGAATGTACTTCCAATGCAATCGACGTCATGGAACCACTGATCTATTAGATAAGTGCATAGAACTTACTAACATACTGCAGTATAAGTTGAAAAACAATTTAACTAGATAACCTATCTGAATCTGACATAGAACCAATTCAGAAATTAGTTGAATACGAGGGTCAATCTCAAATCTCAAGCAGAGCCTATTATTTAGAGACCTTTTCCAAATCATAAAAAAATAACTTGTCTAACAGTGCACAATTACAACACTAATTGCAGTAATCTAGCAATAACAAATTAATTCAAATTGGGATAAAATAAGCTCTAATTTGTGAATCAAGTTTAATTGCAATTACTAAACTTGTGTGCATTTTCAAATCGGTAACAAACAAAAACATATTACGGAACTAAACTTACTGTTTTTGAAATAAAACTACTGTCAAATTGTTGCCTGCTGAAAATATGTTCTAGACCTAAAGCAGGCATATGGAATTCGCTTGGCACAGCTGACAGCTTGTGATTGTATAATTACGCAATGTAATTATAACACATCACGTTCAATGAACCACAGTTAAAGAACATGTCCCTGTGTGCCGTTATCATAAGCATTACAGTGGAGACAAAGGAATACAAGTGGCTCTCTTCATAAATTCAAAACATTAATTAAACTGGACAAAGAAGAGAATTAAACAGTCCTGCTAGATTTTTGTAACATTGCAATTGTGAAATAGATTAAACAACTTTTGAAACAATCGGACACTGTGTCAATGGGACAGAGAGGTAATTATATTGTCTGCTTTTTGTTGCCATTATCGATTGTGCAATACATGTAAATATAAACTTGATTTTAACTCATTAAGCTGCAATGTACCCTAATGCACCCTACATTGTTATTTTGCTCTGTCTAATGCCAGATGATTTTATTCATCAAAAGTAAAGTGTTAGGTATTATTGGGATATGGGCTGCATGTATATAGGGGCAGGGGGTGTAAATAGGGACAGGGGGTGTAAATAGGGGCAGGGGGTGTAAATAGGGGCAGGGGTGTAAATAGGGGCAGGGGTGTAAATAGGGGCAGGGGGTGTAAATAGGAGCAAGGGTGTAAATAGGGGCAGGGGTGTATTAGGACCTTCCACATCCACTGTTGACATTTGGTAGGAGACCCTCCAATCTGCAAATGAACTATGCAAAATATAACCCCATACACCTCAAGAGACTTTGTTTTATTGTTTTTACTCATTATAAAAATGCCAGATGATTTTGCTCATCAAAGATAGACACTTTGGCATAAACTGCATCACCTTTTTGTGCAGCATATACATTCCACTACACCCCCAGGAAAAACTGCCCATGATTTGGCAAAGTAACATGCAAAATGTGCATTTTATTGAATGAAATACTTACTTTTAAGCCTTGTTGATATTGCTTGGCATGGCTAGCATGCATCCAACTACAGGCTAGCTTCCAACACTTTCAGGTACACTAACACTTCAGGGTCAGATACCGTAAACCTCAGACTATAAGACCCCCAAATATAAGCCTCACCACATAAACTAACACTCACCTCTTCCAAATATAAGCCCCCTTGAATATAAGCCTTCCCCCAAAATATATATATATAGTTCCCCCAAATATATATAAGCCCCCCAAATATAAGCCCCCCAAACAAAAGCCCAGTAGCCCACTACGTTATTCAACATTGACATTGTCTTTTAATATAGCAGAGAACGATATTTAAAAACATTGTCCTTATAGCCGACTATGTGAATCAAAGCGTGTTATTAATACATGTTTATTTTTCTGTTTATGACTGACTTGTTTATGTCTGACTTGTTTATTACTAACACAAAAAATCGTCCATGTATTAGCCCCCCTGTATATAAGCCCCCCCCCCTTGTTAAGCCCATCAAAAATTGCTTACCAAAGTATATAAGCCCAGGGCTTATAGTTGGAGGTTTACAGTATAATAACGACATATATTTATCAGGGCACATTGCAGCTTAGCAGGTTAAATGCATAAACACATGATAAGGTCAAACTAGCAAAATCAAGCATGCAATCCTAAATGTCTGCTAAACCTGTCTTTGCAGATCCACAAATCTGTAAAAATATTGACCTGATTAAAAAATGTTATCCGGTTTATCTGCCAATCAACAATCTATGCAACCTTGGGACCCAATGACCTTGGGATGAATTGTTCCATGTTACATTCATTAAACAATTCATGCCGAGCTTGTGTTGTATTATAAAATTGTCGCCCTACGGATTGAACTATCAAACCATCTACAAAGTTACTAACAAGAAGAACAGGAAAACACGAATAAGAATTGTCAGGCAGTTGCTTTAAAAAATTCCAACACAAACCAAGACATCTTATTGAAGATGACTACATGCATTAGACCTTGCATTTCAACCCCAAATTAGCATTGCATGAATTTCTGTTTAGCTTGCATAAATTCCTAAATATCTACTGGCATGTTTACAGGTTGTAATTTTTGGGCAGAGTTCTGAGAGTTTATAATGACAATATGTGATGTTTTCAGTCAGATGACTTGTATCTTGTATTTCCCCAAATATCATTAAAAAACACAAAATATTGGTATACACTTGAATAAATTATCATTAATTCACACAATATTGTCAATGTCGAACGTCTGTTCTCTAGAATGTTCGAAACAAGCAAAATATCTACCATACTAACAAAAATAGTACATAATAACTAACAAATATTGCTACAATATTACATTAGAATACACATTAGAACAACACTAAGCTAAAATCTGACAAATCAGAATTACTTTGTTACATTGAAAAGCCCGGAAGGTCAAAACGATCAGGTTTCTTTTGTCTGCTGGTAATACTGGGTATTAAAAGTCTCGGAAGTGACAAAATGCTGTAGCCCTCTTTAAATTCAACTACAAGACTCTAACCTTTTATAAATATTTAATAACGCTAGAGTACGCTTCGTACTTTAGAAGTAAGCCAAAATAAGATAAGTCACAAAATTTCGCGCTGTGCTTGCGCAGGGTGCAAAAAAATAGCTCGAAAGATATCGAATTAATGCTTCGCCGTCTGTAGGTCAGAGAAAATCTTTTTAACGACACGAATACAAACAAAAAACCACCGATTAGAGTCCATCAGTCAGAAGCCATGCATTTGCTTGAGTGGCCCAAGTAGTACCATACGACAAACGACAACGAAACGTGACAAACTAGACTAGACAGCTATCAGACAGATTATATAACACTATATCTGTTCGGCGTATTGTATTTCCTTGCAAAAACTGACGAGGAAATGGCATTTCTTTCGTTACAATTTAATACTGCGGTGACACAGTTCTAATTATATTCATATCCAAACAATTTTTGGCCGTATAAAAACCTCGAGAAGCTGTTAAACTAAACGACATTATAGACGGTTAAATATTAGGACTCACGACTCTTAACAGATTTTACATGCGTGTCCTATTAAAGAATGGCAAAGTTAAAGAATTAAAGAATTAAAATAGAATAAAATAGTGGTAGACTAACTGAAATTTATTATGCCCAATGCTTTTACCACATCATTTTGATCACACTGGACTAAGAATGGCCCCTTCTGCGATTGTACCACAAAAATTAGGCTATATTCTACCTTTAAAAACGCGTACAGGCGTCTACACTACATATATAAACATACATACAAATAGGTTTAATATAAGTAATATTTTACCCTACCTTTGTTGTGTTTGTATCGTTCGAACCGGGTCGACTCTTCATTCGTTTCCTAGGCTTCCGGAATATATGCCATTTCTATGGAATAATAGGACATATAGATCATAGATCAAATAAAGTATAAAGGCAGAAAATCGACCAGAAAACTCCACAGAATCTACATAATAAATCCCTCGGGGGAGAATAATAATCGTAGATAGAATTTGAAAACATAGCGACGTCTATTTACCTCATTCGAGACAGCAGAATTTGTGTTATTGACTGTATTTTCGAGTTCGATCGAATCTAATTCGTTTACTGCGGCCAAATCGCGTGCCATATTACTCCAGCGTGGCGGTCGCTACAATTCATAACCACATAGGAGACGTACTGTTATTTTTAAACCATTTAATATTCGTTCGAACGAGAAGAATATATAAATTCGTCAATCTTTTGAGGCATCTTCGAACTCCCACATAAGAGCAGATGTATGTATGTTTAACACCGCCTAAACGTCACGACGCTGACGTCATATAGACCTGTTACTTTCCCAGTGTGCAAACCTAAGACCTCTCCTGATTGGTTTTATTCGCAAGCCCTTGCCGCGTCGGCCAATCATGGACTGCGTTTTATCTACTTCATCAAGATACGAGTGCAGCGTAGGAGGTTACTAAAATAGTAAAATCTTAATAAATCAAGTCAAATTTTCGCTCAAATCTGGGGCAAAACCAACTCAATTGGAGCCCGTCACTGATAGCTTCATAAACCATTAAAAACAAGTACGTTTAGTGAAAAATAATAAAATGCAAACACGTTTTAAGGCCTTCATTTTTTGCAATTGACTTGTAGGGCTAAACATCAAAGTGCACCGACGTCTGGCAAATTATTCTAAATTTCTATTTTGGGCTAATATGAGTTGCAACTGTTCTAATTTAGGCTTGCATGGATTTTTAGGATCAAGGAGGTTGTATTGTTATTTAGATTGGGAGAGAAATCTTGATGAACAAAATTGGGAATAAACAAGTGCAGTTTCGAAAAACAAGAACGTTTTTTTCGCACGAGAAAAATCCACAGACTAATATTTGATTTGGGGATTTTGATTTTCGAGGGCGAAGAAGATCTTTGAATTTGCGTGAAATAATAATTAAAGTATTTTACCGATTTCGGTTGCGTTTTCTTTTTTTTAGACGATGAAATCCCAGTCGCCCCCAAGATTTATAATCATTTTCTAGGTTTTTCACGTGTGATATTTTATCATTTGAAATAATAGAGTTTGTGTTTGCATTACAAAAGAGGATTTTGCAATATTTACAGGACGTATAGATAGCGAACCCGGCTGCAGCCTACTGATAATGCTGCAATATGGAAATTCGCTTATTGCCTGTTGTGGGCAGACAAGCAAAATGCGCATGCGTGAGGGGCAAACATTAATGTTTCCCAGCAGAGGTTTCCCAGTATCCTTCATGTCTCCCGAAGGTAGGCAAACCATGTGTTGGCCGAAAATGGCAAAACAGAAAAATGCTTTTCCTGGCCATGTTTTCCGAAGATAGACAAAACAGAAAAGGAAATTAAATATTGTTTCCTAGCCATGTTTTCCGAATGTGGACAACAGGAAACAGATTGTTTCGTAATCGTATTATTTTGTGTTTTGCTCAGGAATTATTTTTGAGTTCAAGAACTAAAGGTTATATCATTTTTAGACCAGATTCCGGCACGCTCATAAAACTATCTTGTGCTTCTAGCTTTTCATTCACCGTCCAATTTTTTTTTTTTTTTGGGGGGGGCGTGTTTATTTGAAAAGTTTTTCCTTGTTCCCAAAAAGATTTCCACCCCCCCCTGGGTATCCTATCACATCTAGTGGTGAGCAGCATGCATGGGACCTAGTAATCCCTAACACCCCCTGGGTATCCTATCAGATCTAGTCGTGAGCAGCATGCATGGGACCTAGTAGTCCCTAACACCCCCTGGGTATCCTATCACATCTAGTGGTGAGCAGCATGCATGGGACCTAATAGTCCCTAACACCCCCTGGGTATCCTATCACATCTAGTGGTGAGCAAGCATGCATGGGACCTAGTTGTCTCGCTCGTGTTTCGCCACTTTTGACACCTTTAGTTATAGAGTTTGCCATATTCTTGTTAAACGTAATTGTCGATGTGACTCATGTGAGATATGTACAATATTGTCTAGTTATCTACGCACCAATATATATTTCATACTTACATTCACTGTAATAATTCCTTTCTAAATTTACTATTATAACTTGATTCAAGTATATCACTTCTAAACTAGCAATAAGCTAATAAGCACAATGCAGTTAATTATCATTTCCATGTTCCATGACACCAATATATATTTCATATTTACATTCACTGTAATAATTTCTTTCTAAATTTAATATTATAACTTGATTCAAGTATATCATTTCTATAAATTAGCAATAATGCTAGTAAGCTAATAAGCAGTTGTTTATCATTTCCGTAGGCAATTCAGGTAGTTCCCTGACATGTTCCAATCCAAGCTGACACACAAGCTGTGCTAGTCTATTCTCCTCGGGCAAGTGTTCAGGTTTAAGTCCTGAAAACCTGCGTCCAGCATTAAACCAACATGCGGACCCCAGTGAATCTCGCCTCGCAAACATATTTGCACTGGGATTTACTTCGCACAGTTGTTGAATTAAATACTGTCCATTGTTATCTAATCTGTCATCGTCTAACGAAATTCCATTCTTCTTTGCAAGTTCTTCCAATCTTAAGATATTTTCTTTTAAGTTACAAAACTGTAAAGGCTCTCCGTCATCCATTTCCACACAATTGTCTTGGTTAGTCCTTCTAATAAAGTCATCAATTTCGTTTGACCTGCTAAATTGTCTAATGTTCTTTGCGGAATTATTAAAAGTTGTGGAAGAAACAGAATCTTGAACCAACCAAAAATTCTGAGGAGTTAAAGACATTCGTCGTCCGTTGCTCGTTCCAAACATAACGACTCTTTGATGTTTTAATCTGTAGAAAAGACGGTGCAATAAATAAGTCAAGGCTGTCAAAACATTTTTGAAATAATCGTCGTATGTATCCGTAATTTAGGAGATCTAATTTAACGCTTAGATGTTTACAGACATACCGATGCTCGTTTTAAATTGCTTCAGGCTATGCATGAGCGGCTCATTTTAACCGCAATGAGGGTATATTTAGGCCCTGTTTACACTATACCGGATTCGCTGGTCACGACATCTTCTTTTGCCGTTACGGAGCAATGGTTAGTAGCAAAAGCTTATTAGTTTAACAGAATTGGCATGTTTATTTAGGTTTCTGAGATTAAAAATCTTCACAGCCTTTCGATACCTACAAAATTTGACCCACTCCGATAGCAATCCGGTATAGTGTAAACGGGGCCTTAGAAAACATGACGCACACGTGACCTTGTTTTTGAACAAACATTGATCACGAGATCTGTATATTGCGTTCTTGACAGGTTTCCAAAAATCACAATCGACTGCAGACAAATCTGCAACTATATTGGATTAACAAACTGGTAATATATACATCCAAAAACTTTTAGAACCACTGAGTATTTTAACAAAATGCAAAACAAATGTAACTCCAAAGATCGATCTTTGGAGTTACACTTCATATGCATGCGTTCTTCCTTTCGAAAATGAGCCATTGCAATAAGAGATAAACAAGGATCATAAAAACAATGGGCATGAATGCCTATCATTGTTGTATTTGTATAAGACCTCTATTTAACATTCCGTAATAAATAGCATGAAGCGGTTTTATTCTCTATATAGGTAAGGTTCACTGACTATAGGTCAAGGATAAAGAGATAGTTATCACAAGACTCTAAATTGTTTACTAATTGTGCCGCGATACCTTGACCTTGTGTTTGCATGGTGGCATATGCATGTAATATGGAAACATGTAGAACGATTCATTCGCTCCCATAAATATATCATTTGGAAGTTGAATAGCACCATATAGCTTGGTTTGCAAACCAAAGACAAAGTTTCTATGTGTTAAACACCAAGCCAGTTCCCTCAACTCTTACAAATCCTTCAAAACTTAGAATTTACCTATGCAAAATTCTTATATATTATAATCACAGAAACTTTGATAGTATAAACCAGCTTTTATATAAAGACGAGCTTCTCTAAATATGTCAGTGTATATGCAGCCAATGGTAAATATTGCAGGGGCCATTTCAAGCCCTAGATAAACGAAATAAGGGTTTGATGTATGTTCCAACTATGTAATAGAATACATGATAGTGTTGGGAAAGCATTAAGAGTCAGCTAACCATTGCACTCTCATCCTCGTTTCGTTCAATACCATACACAGGGTACATTAAAGCCCACCTAGTCGACGTATTCCAATTACCCAGCTTAGTTACGACTTTCTCCCAATTGTATAAGAATTTTAACAAGTGATAAAGCTGAGACATAACTCATGCATCGTAAACGATACCTACCTTAAATAAAGTTGTACTGCAACGTCAACAACTTCGTAATCTTTCAAATCTTTCTCGCTATTGATACTCTTTTACGTTAAACTGCAGTTCGAAGACGTTTATGTGCTATTCAGTGATCAACGTTGGAAACCAATTGACGAACTTTCTTTGTTGCGTCGCCATTTAAAATCCCCGGCATTGACGTATATCTGACGTCATGAGTTCGGGTGAGGCCTAAAGTATCTGGGCGTAGGGTTACCTGTAATAAAATGCTAGACAAAGAACTGTTTTACTCGAGTATTCGCGAATTACACGGTTAGCTACAGCACAACAATGAACCCGTAGGGATTTTCGATGGATTGTAGTACTTTTTGAGTCTTCTGAAGGCTAAAAAGGTTTCAGTATGGCCTCTGCTCTGCAGCATAAGTAATAAAAATAACTCGCGATTCTTCTTAAGGGAAAGTGTTACTACAAACTCGTGGAGTACTTAGATTAAGGACTCTGATATTGAATCTATAATGAGCCATATAACCAAAAATGTCATTGCTTTCTGTAATTCCATGCATATATTGAGTTTATCAGGACATCGCCATGCATGGAGAGTGCACTAGAAATTTCGAGAATCAAGGTTGGCCGTGGTAGCGTAGATACGGAAGGAAAACAGGAAAGGATTGGCTTGCTCCGTTGTGGGAAATGTAATAATACTATATGTTGCGTGTAATAAGCCTAATATTGGCAATAAACAACTACATTTAGTCCAAATTCAGAAATGAGTCAACACATCTCTTTGAAGTACTTCTCTTTGTAGCTATGCATGGCGATAAATTGTTTGGGGGGTAATGTTCAGCTGCTTGACAGAGCTCTTTCAACTGAAAATGATAGACCATGTGGGCATGAATGTTATCTATTTTTGTCCTTCACTATAAAACGTATATGAGAACAGAAACCCAGCTCATTTTTGACCATGGGAATGGCAAGTTGCATGTGTTCAACTTTTCTTCAATTTCCAACAAAATTTCTGATTTGTGTCACAAAGTGATTGCATATGTTTCTTTCATCTTTATGAGGATCGCATGAAGTTGGATCCCTGTAGCCTACTCGGACTGCGAGCAGCCTAGATCCCTGTAGAGTAGAGTATACATCTGATTATAATTCTACCGCATGTAAGAAGGACTTTACCAAACACTCCAGGTGTCCTAGCTGTGGGGACATTAGACTAATCAAGGGGTGGCTCTTACTGGACCTTTAGGAAGAACGGTTTAGACCTGATAGCGCTATTTTTACTCATGTTACTCTCCAAGTGTCGCCACACCAGGCAAGCTGAAAAATTGCTTGGCGTCGGTGTAGAGACACTCAGAGAACCATCAGCGACAAAATTATAAAATTGGTTTAAGTTCCCTCTGTAGTAACATTGGAACAATAAAGAATGACCTTTGCTAGTCCTCTAGGGAGAACAGTTTAGAACTGATAGAGCTATTCAGTCAGGTTAGTAGGCCTATATGCACGACTTGGTATTTAATCTACTATAACACTGGAAAGAACTACTATATAAACTATATGCTTAATTTCTGTGCCATATGTATCCTCCAACCACACGTTGGGGAGAAAAATCAAATACATGCAGTGATTCATGCTAAATACGTACATTATATGGTTTTAGTAAAATATATACACACCGGTTATAATTGAAGTATCTTACAATTATTTCCGCATGTTACCATAGCAGATCTCCATTACGATCTCCAAAGCAGGTAGTCTTATTTCCTATATATAGCGTAGAAAATTCTAGCACATGCTAGGCATCGTTATGTCATTGTCTATTTTAAAACCATGTTTATATATGAACATCGTACTGAGATTAAACCTTCTTCACACGTGTATTGGACCCGCCAGCGACACTATCTTAATTTGTTTAACACCAGACAGATCTTACTTTCTGTATACTTTATTCCCGCGACTAAAAACTATGCGGCGGTTTTTGGTCTACTTTATAGCCACGGTTTTATAGCATATTAGAGACGCAATTTTGGAGTAAGGGTGTTGTAGTTTCAACTTTCTGTACTGAGCTGTATATAGAGTCCAGTTGTAGGGCATTAGCCACAAGCTCTTGTATATATATATATATATATATTATGTATGTAGTTTTTTTACATCAAAAGGTTGCCACTACTGTTTCATCCAAGAGGAATCATGCATGAAACAGGCTGTTATGGCAACCTTTTGAGGTAAGAAACTACAATGATCTGTTCTATACCTATACGATATCGACCACTCCTTGGCATTTCGTGAGCCAAAACACACTCGTATTATATATGCATATATATGTAAGGCCATGCAGGATGGTTTGGTCTGGCATTGTCATTGATAACCTAATTGTGGTGACAGAAAATGTTCTTGTCTAGTTTAGGTGCATTACCTTGTAGGGGACCTAGAATCCTGTAAAAAAAGCCTATAATCATAAGCCCAATGGCGGCAATGCTTTCCTGGTTTATCTGGCAACAATACGCATGAATTACCATCATTTACCATCAAATAATCGCGATGGTTTCAATTTCTGTAAGCTCAGTAGTATTCCAGTTTCGACCGAAGCTGGTATGCATTTCTCCGCCAATAAGCAAACCCCGAACATTGCGTGACACCATTGAACACGCTGCCACGAGATGTTGCTGGGATTCAGTCAATTTAAGGGTCCGCAATTACTACGCGGAAAGGCGTACTATATGTTTGTGCTATATTTATGACAGGTTGGCGGGTAATTGAAGTGCATAATAATTGCCTTCCTACATAATTCTACGACGCTGACGTAAATGACCAGAGTCAGGGTCAAATAGTTGCTTTGAAACGCAGTAAAATTACAGGGATGATTTCCTAGTTCACTTTATGAGGCTTGAGAAGGTTAAGTCTTCGCGTTACAGCGTAAAACAGAAGATGAATATCACATCCTATGAGTGCTTGTTTATACAAGGGGGTGCGTCAAGGTTGCATTTCAAGTGGCTGTTAGGGCTAGCACGGTCAATGACTGAATTTTTCCTCCTGATGCATATATACTTGTTAATTTTTAGCTGATGATAGAAAAGTTAATTTTTAGCTGATGATAGAAAAGTTAAGCCAGTTTTCCACGAATTGAATGCGTTCGTGGGAAGCGACCTTTCCTTTGTTGGCATCGGCAAAACGTCAGCGAACGCGACGCCGACAAGGGGCTTTGCTTCGCGCGAGCAAATTCGCTTTAATATTGAAAAACCGGCTTAAGCTTAGTTCAACTTGGATTCCGGATAGCTCTATCAATTCTCTTCAAATCTTCCTGGAGGTACACTAAGGATTATAAGTCGTGTTATTACAGGAAATCCGGGGAAGAAACCTAAACTAAACTTTATTTATATTCTTCAATTTTATATTACCCGTTTCATCGTTTTAGAAACAGAAATATACTGTGCGTTCTCTGACATACGATTAATTATAAGAAATATTTTTGTCATTGTTTCTGGGAAAATGTACCCTCATACATGGCGGATATCAGAGGCATCTATATGTTCTATACAATAAAAGTTCTGCGTATAATTCCACGTTTGGATTTCAACGGTTTCAGTGGTATATATAGTTACAATTTTCACCCAACTCATAACTCACGTATTTATTTCATCGTAGGCATAACCGTTGCTGTCTTTTGAACAGAACTAATATCTTCTTTCCATAAACTGGTGATAGTCTTAGCCTGTGTATAGAACGATATGCCCTAAAACAGGAACAAATTATAATTTAAACTCACACGAGCTGAGCATAAACAGGAATATGAAAATAATTATCCTTAGCCGACAAAGCTAAAAGAATTTTCTTTTGTCTTATATTCCATTCGCATTAGGCCGCCACGTTTTTTTTTTGTTGGATTACGGATATCCCAACCTTGTATTTTTAAAAAGCAGAAAAAAATATAAATGCCGCCTATCAGTTTTTTTTTCATCCGACCATAGTTTAGAAAGTACTAGTATTTATTTTCCCAGCAAGACACCCAAAAATATAAAATGTGGAGAATAAATTAGTCAGGCTGACGTGGAGGCTAAACCTTCAACACGCAATTGTCACTCATGATCACGCCACGTGAAACATGGCCGAAGATAGCCTGCGTGGCAGGCCCTCAATTTTATGGGGGGCCTGATTTGCAGCGGGCAGGATTTTGGCAGGCTCCGGGGGAGGATTACCCCTATAAAATTGAGGGCCTGCCCGAAGAAAGCGGTGTTTACTTCGATGTAGTCTTTGACTTTGGATGTACATGTCACTGTGCGTGTGGTATTAGATATTAGACAATTCTTTTTTTTTTAATTTTCATATTTTGCCCTCCTGCCCTTAATATTGACGAGAAAAATCCATAATCCAACAAAAAAAGCGTTGGCCATACCGTACGTCATTAGCCTACGGGCATAAACGGTAATGCCATGCGACCAGGCCTTGCCCGGCATTTTTGGCTCATAATGAACATAATGAGGAAAAAGAAAAGGGTTTTGATATAAGCACAATCAATGTGTGAATTAAGTTATATACATGCAGGGTGTATAAAAAAAATGTACACCCTTCCAAATTCAAATTAGCCATAACCTTTTTAAATATTCGTTGCTCTGCAGTAAGCTGGCCCATTTTATATCTTATGCAGACTTGAATAATGCTTAAAGTGTCTATATCATGGTTTTGGAGTTTGCATATCTCGAAAGTTTAGGGTATTTTTAGACACTTTGCAATATATATTGTTATTGAAAAATTTCATCTTGATGGATTTATTAGCTCTTAAAGTTACCGGACATGACGTCAAAAGGAGAATTGCAAATCAGTTTTCCTTTGTATCATTGCAACAAAATTCTCCTTTTGACGTCATGTCCGGTAACTTTAAGAGCTAATAAATCCGTCAAGATGAAATTTTTCAATAACAAAATATATCGCAAAGTGTCTTAAAATACCCTAAACTTTCGAGATATGCAAACTCCAAAACCATGATATAGGCACTTTAATTTAAACATTTTTCTTTGAATTATGTATTTGTTCATACAAATAGAAGTTACCCTAAATTCCCATGTGCAGAAGACCTTGTATTTTCACGCATTCATTAATTCGAGAAATTATACGTCTGTCAAATTACTACAATAGATTACGGTTAATTTGAATTTGAAAGGGCGTACATTTTTTTGATACACCTGCATGTAGAAACATGTCATTATTTGATGGGTATTGTAGATGGAAATTGCCGAGTGGAAATTTATATACATTTATTAAACCTAACCAGGAACAGCTCTGTGAAAAATGCAACTTTAGGTTCCTGGCAGGAACCTGTGCATGGCCCTGCGATTCCAGTGTACTCTAACCAACTATTGCGGCCGCTACAGAGGCCAGTTGTCGAGCTCTAACCACAAGTTCATGTATATATACTGGGGTACTGCTATGTATAAGTTATGGGTAAATATCAAGATTATGTGGCTTTCTTTATAATTTCAAAACGTGAAGTTCTGTTGGTATTTTTCACTTGGCGGCTAGAACAGACAAAATAAAGTCATCTCCGAGTACTATTACCTCTTTTCCGTAGAAATGAGAAGAGCCCAAGAACGATCCTCGTGAACCAGTGAAAGAAAACATGGGCAGTGCAACTGGAATGGGGACATTGACTCCGATCTGAAACATAATAGAGATTTTAGCTACGAATGGAATTGGAGTGCTGGTGACCTGCGTAGGGGTTGGGGTGCGGGCAGCAAAAATTAGGGAGGCGAGGCGTGGGAAAGGCATTTTAGCGTGCCACTACCAAAAAACATACGTTTCCTCCCGTAGTAACACTGGACCGATAAGAAAGAGGTGGCCTTTACTAGATATCCAGACTAGTACAATACAAAACATACTCCATTACTCCCAACCATCTTGTGCTCTCAAGATAGAATACACGATATGCGGTGATATTTCGGCTTTATTTGAAAATCATTGTCAAGGTTCTGGACAAGTACTGGACACGAGTACTTTTGCAAATGTTAAAACTTACTTGGCCAACGTTCACGTCATTTTGAAATCTCCTCGCTACGGCACCAGACGAAGTGAAGATGGCAGTACCGTTACCATATTCATTGTTGTTGATTATTTCGACCGCCTAAAATTGATCAAACTCGTGAATATTTAAAATGCAAAGAGTACACGCATGTACATGAATGGATCTAATGAGATGACGCATGTTACCGGCCCGTTGGTCATCCAATTCATTCACAATTATAACGTAAATGCTTGGTTAGCTTTGTCTAACTATACTAACTATCAGACCAGCAGTGACTAGGCATGTGAGATAGCTGCGTAGTCGGTTGTACGAAGATATAGAATTTATCAATTCCCTAAAATTGTCCGTTGATTTGTATTAACCAGGGGCCGGTTGTATCAAGCCCGTGGATAAGTCAAAATTAAATAACACTCTTTTCTCTCTCGTGAATCAGTCAACTTAAATATTGTGCACTAAATATGTAGTTGTAAACATTATCGTTCTATTAAGGTTCAAAACTTTTAGTTTGGTTGTTGAATGAAACTATAGACTTGCTTTCTATTGCTTGCTTGATACAACCGGCCCCAGGTTAAACTGAAGATTCAAGGTGTACTTAGTCTTTAACATAAAGTACATAAAGGACAGTTTTCTAAAATATATTTAAGAATGAAATAGAATTGCATATATAGAACTCTAAAATAGACCTTTCTTAAAACTCTGGCGTCAGCAAGCACAAATTATTTTGTGACGTCACAAAATAATTTATGCATGCTGACGCCAGACTTAAAAGAAATACCTATTAGGGAACTTAGCAAGCGACGTTTTTGTCAACAAGGACGTCAGATTACCGAGAGGGGACTGGAATAAAAACTATGTTTGTGTCAGTTTGTAGTAATCTTCAACACATGTGACAAAACATAAGATTAAAATATTTTTTTTGCTTTCTTAGACAGCGATACGAGGCAAAATGCCGCCAAAATTAGTTATACCAATTTTTGCGTGACGTCCGGTGTTGTCAAAAACGTGACTATTGACTGCAACTATTGACTGCAACGGATTTACCAACTTCCGCAAAATGGAAGTGCGCAGATAAGTAAAGACGCAGTGAAAGTATCACGTAGGTACATACGTCGTACTTGGCTGAGAACGCACGAAGTATTGGCGTACCTCCGGTGCGTAAGACTACGCGAATTGTCGCACCTTGAATTAACAAGCAAGATATGAATAATATTCGTGTTACCTCTTCAAGGTTATCAGCTGTCATCGCCAATAAGACAGGTCCAAATATTTCTTCTTTGTAACATTTCATGTTTGGCTAAAAATTTACAGTTTGCATATAATACTTATGTTAGGTACTGTACTGTACACACGTAAAAAATCTCACAACTTGTCAACAAGATGTGTTCGCAACAGGCTTGTGGCAAGCTTGTCAAGTTGTAACAATGCTGTTAATTTATCAAGTTGCTACAAGGTTGTCAGTGTTGTCACTGACAACTTGTTTACAAATAACAAATTGTTGAATTGCAGGACGATAACAAGTTGTTGGAACAACTTGTAACAAGTCTGTTGAACTCAACAACCTTGTAGCAAGCCGTTGACAACTTGTCAACAAGTTGGGAACAAGCAGTGCGAACACATCCTGTTGACAAGTTGTTGAAACAGCATTGCTACAAGTCTGCTGCAAGTTTGTTACAACTTGTGCGTTTTTACGTGTGTAGCAAGGAACGGTGTGCCGACCTCTGATTGGGATAAATTCAGGGGCCAAATCGAAATGGCTTCAATTTTTAGATTTCAATACATTGTATTCAACGATACGATGAGCTTTCACCAACCTTAACACCAGATATCACAGTTGGGCCAACAAAATTGCCTTTTTCGTAACCCTCGACTTTTACACCTCGCCCATCTAAATCGATCTAAAAATGAAAGCAAACAAAGGGTGCTTTCCATTAAAGGGGCAGTGTCACGGCGCTGATTGGCTAAAATAAACGGCGCAAAGAAACGTTTAAAATTAATGCTACATGATTGGAAAAGATGCAGCAGCCTTCAATTTTTAAAACAACGCAAGGATGTCCTGCATAATGAAGCGATTATAAATAGTATAGTATATCGTATTTCACTCCTAACTTGATTAATTGTTGGCAGACAGTTTTTCAAGTTCGCGCATATTTTGGATGCGCAGCAGAACCGTGACACTGCTCCTTTAATACGGTCAGTTTGATCAAATTATTGAATAGAATGGTCTGTGCCAGTGTTGTGAGCGACGATAAGACGACAGCTGCGGTTCAAGAGAAATACAACTGCGTAAAAAATATAAGCGAAGGCCCTTCAGTCGAGAAGTTAATAACGAAGAAGGTCGAAGTTCTGCTTCTATATTTTTCATGCTAGTTGTATCTTTCTCAATCCAAAACTGATGGAATACAAAACGTTTGGCCTTCGGACCGTTCTGACTGGAAAATTTTGACCAACTTACAAGCAGGTCCTTTTTTTAATAGCCAGATTTTCAAAATCCCTGGACAAAAATAAATCTCTGTCAATAGAGACAGAAATTCTGGTCTGGACATTGAATGGCTGCAAATTCGGACATTGCATAGAAACAAATATTGTAATACTTTATTTACTGAATTATTCATTTACCGTGGCTCCTTCGTCTGCACCAGACTGAACCAAGTCACACACACGATCTTTGGCCTGGGGAGAGATCAATGGACCCAGGTCAGCATCAGGTTGATGTCCTACACAAAAGAAATAAACGCTATCATACAAGCACAGTATAGACACAGAGCTTCGACTCCTTGTCCGTACCTTTGATGTCAGCGTAATCTCCGCCATTGCATGGTCCTAGCCAGTGCACCAAGGAGAGGCTGTAAATCCCACAGAAAACATTGAAAATGCAGAGCATTCAGAGGGGTGAGTGCCTCTTGTTAGCACACTGGCTAGGAACCTGGTGACTGCAGTTATTTGCTGAGTTGGGTCTGTTAAGTATATATTCTGAATATGAGATTCAGTTTCATCAGTTCCTAAGCTTTATGTTAATAGTCCTTTGCAATCGAGGCCACGTTGGTTGATTTTTAAAACACACTTATAACTGTACTACATTCTATAATGCGCAGATTATATCAAGCCAGAGACCACAAAGCTATCCACAATATGGTTACCCATTGGTAAACCAAACCAATAAACAAGCTAAGGTAAACTCACAGATCAACCAAGATGGCGCCCAGTGCGTGACATAGTGACCTATGTGCAAACAAAAAATGAACCTACCTGCATTTACTTTCAGTTTCTTTGCACGCTCAACAAATTCTGGGATCCAGTCTTTAGATTCACCCACAAATATCGCAGTGGACAGTGCCATACACCGCTGACCAGCGGCACCGAAAGCTGCTCCGACAAGCTACAGGACCAAAAATCAAAAGGTTGGAATTTAGTTGAAATCATTCGTTGAAACTTGCTGAACAGTTAGTGGTGGTTCAGAATTTTTAAATATTACCTGATTAAGAGCATGATCTTTATTTGCATCAGGCATTATGACACCATGGTTTTTTGCACCCTGGAATATATTGAAACATTTGAACAGTCAATTCTTGTGATCTGACAGCTGAAAAAATGGGTTAAATTTTAAAAGAATTGTGACCGAAAAAGACTCACCATATTTGATTGAACTCTTTTCCGATTTTGAGAACCACGATCATATATATACTTTCCCTATGAAGAACACATTTAATTTTAAACTTTTTCCACATAGAATCCGCCATATCTCATTTTTAAACAAGGATTACCAGGGTGAAATACTTACAGCTTGATCAGAACCAACAAAAGAGATTGCCTGAATGCTTGGATCGTCACAAATGAAATTCACCGCTTCGTGCGCACCATGAATTACGTTCAACACACCATCAGGCAGCCCAGCATCTTGTGCGAGCTTTGCAAGCAACATGGTTGCACCAGGAACACGTTCAGATGGTTTCATGACAAACGTATTACCACAGACCACAGCCAGTGGAAACATCTTAAATAATTGCAATGTTAAGTTAATGATGTTATATTAAATAAATAGTAATTATTTAAGCAGTAAGTGTAAATTAAGCCATATTTTACAGGCTGCAACTTGCAATGCAATTTCAGATACAGATAAGCATGGTACACATTCTACTTTGCCCACCAAAAATGAAAGAAATGGAATGAAACACATATACAAAGCCATCATTTAATCTCAGACTCAATCAAATTCCTAATTTCCAGGCCAGGCAGTTACCCTCTGAAGATCTTACTATGCTGCTAATTTTCGTTAAGTTTTTTCAGAAACTTACCATGAGCGGTATTAAGCAGGAAAGTTGAACCTAAAAATAAAGTGAAATATGGAAACTCACCCAGAGTGGAATCATGGCTGGAAAATTGAACCTAAGGAAAGATAAAAATGTAATTTATAGCTCACTTTTAACAGAAATCATTGAGGTGTAAACAACGACTCAGGTATAAAAATAGCGCAGCACTTACGGTGCAATTCCGGCACAAACACCAAGTGGAAAACGATATGAATACATATCCATGTCTTGGGTTATGGAAGGCAAGGTCTCACCAAGTTGCAGTGATGTGATTGAACATGCATGCTCAACAACCTCTGAAAGGAATATTTGGAACTTGTCAAATGCTTTTCATCACATACTGGTCAGTACCATTCACCTTTGTGAATGCAGGTGTTCAGTTCTTGTAATAATTATGTAGTTTCTGATCAGATAATTTCATTTTATTTCCGTTTGAGAAGAGTGTTTCCAGATTGACTTGCAGACCTACCAAGTCTCCAAAATGCTGGAGACTCCCTGCCTTTTGGAGTCATTAATCATCTCCCTCCCACATGAAGACAATTTGAAGAAATCTCCCACATTCCTTGTGTTTTACCTGCAACACAGTAGTGTTGGGAGTGCTACCAGAAAAAAACTAATAAATTATCTAGACACATGTTGATTGATATGTGTTGTACAGCTGAGCAAGAGTGCTTTGAATACAGTCTTTATTTTCAAAGTTCTCTTTTAAACGAAGCACCCACAGCAATCCCTTAGTCTCCGCTAGAGATTTTGTTGAACTCATGTTTATTGTCAGCTCACGTCACATGCAGAAAAATCACAAATATTGTAATCTCCCTCATTTTATGCACCACACCTTGGCAAGCCTGGACTTTACCAAACACAGGTTTTCTTATGTAGGTACTTCCGTTTCCTCCTGTAGTATTTTATATTGAATATAATAGATCTTCTACATCATTGTCCAGGGATCCAGTATAAAGGGCAATATCTTCAACTTGTGATCTACTGCACTTACGTAATCCTCTGTGAACGTCGCCTTCTGCATCAGCCAATGTTTTGCCCTGCTCAAGAGTGATTGATTGAGCAACTTCTTTCTACACAACAAAATAAGTATATAAAACTTCTGACAGACCACCAAGAGCACTAACAACAAAAGCAGCAAAAACACCACAGGCATCACGAACATGAACTCATGTTAGAATAAGAACTCCTATAACATTACCAGGTTACTTTTAACCAGCCCTTGATATGCAAATAAAATCTGTTGTCGAGAGAGGATAGACGATTGTGACCACGACTCAAAAGCCTTTGAAGCGGAGTCAACTGCCGCTTTCATTTCAGCTTGAGTTGTCTTCGGCACATTGCTGATGACCTCGTTAGTTGCCTAAATTAAAACAATAGTCAAGCAAAATTTTTGACATTTTCTATAACAAGTTGTTCTAACTGTATTATACTTTTGTTTTGATTTATCACACAATGTGCATTTCACAAACAGTGTATTTTTTCAACTATTCGTTCCAACACAGATTTTTCAAACTTACAGGATTATGAATAGGTAGCCAATCTTCAGTTTTGGAATCAATAAATTTTCCATCAATAAGAAGTTTTGTTGTTGGCTATAGGAAAAGAAACATAATTTACATATACTATCAAGACATAAAGAGAAAAATGATTTGACCATTTGATCATATTATTTGAATAACAAATTAATTAAAGAATAACAAATTAATAATACAAATATAATAAATTTGTCACTCACCACTGCACCATTGGTTAAAAGCCTGGTTGATAACCACAGCTGAAATGAATTTAAAATAAATTTTAAAATGAAAGAAAACTGACAAAAGAGTACAGTTTCGTACTAGCATGAAATAAAGTAGTTTAGTTTAGATTTCCTCCAATAATAACACTGAATTAATAAGCGATGCCTCCACTATTGTTTTTATCTAAATTTATACACATCAAACCTGTTAGCAGGTTACAATATTTTACCAATTGTTTGCTGTTGTTACCCTCACACTTCCCTAATTGCCACTTAATTGTAGCAATTAGCATATCATTAAAGTATACAATTACATAATTAACCTACTTTTACATAACCTACAGTGTTTTACTATTAAATTTTTTAAATCTAAGGTACACAAGCTCCAAACTTTCCAGTCAGCATGAACTGTATATTTTTCAAACAGTTAAGGGTCATTTACCCCTGACCCACCTATATAGCTACCAGCCCACAACGCAAGCTGGGAAGATACATACTCCAGAACTTACTCAATAACTTTCCCGGCATGGATCTACTATTTTTTGCAAATAGAAGGACCTTCCAGGATTTTCAAGGCCTATGGATACGGGATACCCTGATGTTCGAATATTAAACAACATTAATTTCCAAATGTCAATGCCACAAAAATTTTATAATCATATGCAAAATTGCAAATTATGTTTAAATGGCCGTTTATTCTATAACTGTATCTAAATCTAACCCCAATCTCCGTAAAGGCTATTTAAGTATTATACTAACGCGTGTACATAACGGTCATTTTATACCATGGAGTTTGTACAAATGTGTAGTATATACCGCACATGTCGTGTGTAGTACTGTGTACTATATTCAATTGTTTTTCATTTCTATCAATCTGTCTAAAGTTACCAAATATTACATTAAACCACACACACAATACTTACATGAGAAGGCTTTAATTTGTTTGGAAGACGAGCTAAATTCAACATTTTGTAATTTCTTCTTCAATTTGCAACCTTGAACGACGTGTCTTCGGTTGTGCAAGAGGCAAGACCGAGCAAAAGAAGGAAGACTAGGTACTAGCCCGAGGGCGTGTTTGGGGCGTTTTACGACGTCCGCATTCTCGTCACCGAAACAGGCGTACTTTACAGCCACAAACAATGGCTATAATTACATATGTACGCCGAAAATAGGCATATTTTATAGCCAAGGATTTTATAGCCACAATATGTGGTCTGCCATAAATACTAAAACTGTCTGTACCAGTGTAGGTAGTACCAATGTGAAAATGCTGTGCTGAGTGGTTATATTACTACCTTAAAAAACAAGCAGAAACTCGACGTTTCGAGCGCAGGCCGCCAAAAACAGGCGTGCTTTCGCCACAAACCGTTTCCCACTATCCTATAGGCTATCCTGGTTGTTTTAAACTACCCATAAATCATAATGTACCATCGTTATATACAACATATCATATATATATGTTACTAGCAAGAATATTGATTACATTCATTAGATTACAAGAGATTAAAATGATATATACAAACTAACACAAGAAAAACGTTTCTTAAAACATCGCTCAGGATAGGATTGCAATAATTAACTTTATATATCAGTTTTGGTTTGTGGAAACTCCACGTAAATTTATGAAGCACTGATGAAGGTCCAGGCCGTTACAGATCAAGTGCTCTGCAAATAATAAATTGACGTGGTGTTTCCACAAACCAAAACTGGTAATATTAGTTGCGGCATGCAACACTGCAAGGAACTTATATGTAACCTAAATCAGCTAATGGACCATCTGGGGTCTGTTGTACGAAGGTCGGATAGCGCTATCCACCGAATAGTGATTTTTTCAACCTTTTGTAAAATTGCTTGAAAAACTGCGAAACTACGGATATAGACGACACAAGAAGTATAAAAAAATTTAACTTATAAATACTAAATTTTAATACGAGTTATACCAATCAACGACTGATTTTTAAAACAAAGGTTGAAAAAAATCACTATCCGGTGGATAGCGTTATCCTGCCTTCGTACAAGCGGCCCCTGTACGATACGACTAGTCGTATACTTATGATTCATATCCTGGCGTATGTATTCGAATAAATATATGCATGTAAAGATGTCACATTTCAAATTTCACTATAACAGGAATAGTGGCCTCAACAGTCGTTTCCATACGCCAGAATGACAATCCTATACAACTAGTCGTATCGCGTGAAAGTGCCTTAACGCATGTTTATACCATTACTAACTAATTCACATTTTACATTTTTGGAACTGTATTGCATTGCGTGTGATATAAATTCGTCCCCGACTGTTCGCCAGGCCAAAGAGCAGTTGAAACAGCTAGTGTACCCATTGTTATCCCTCTATTACTCTTTCTTATCCCTTCAGTTCTTGTATGCCACCATAGCATTGACTTTGTGTATTAGCGTAGAGAAAGAGCGTAACCGGACCTCTTGGGAGTTTGCAATGAATTGTGGGCCAGATTCTTCCCATTTTTCCGGGACATCTTGGTCTTTATCGGTATATATGAGGATATCAAATGCACCTAAATTGGAATCGGAATTAAACACAAGAACTCCCCTTACAAATGCCAGAACTCCCTTTTCAAACGCAAGAACTCCCTTTTGAAATAGCAAAACTCCCTTTTGAAATAGCAAAACTCCTTTTGAAATAGCAAAACTCCCTTTTGAAATAGCAAAACTCCCTTTTGAAATAGCAAAACTCCCTTTTCAAATGGCAGAACTCCCTTTTCAAATAGCAAAACTCCCTTTTCAAATGGCAAAACTCCCTTTTCAAATGGCAGAACTCCCTTTTCAAATAGCAAAACTCCCTTTTCAAATGGCAGCACTCCCTTTTCAAATGGCAGAACTCCCTTTTCAAATAGCAAAACTCCCTTTTCAAATGGCAAAACTCCCTTTTCAAATGGCAGAACTCCCTTTTCAAATTCGCATTCTGCCTGGACATTGTCAGTTGACCAGCTGTTATTTCGCGCCCTGGAATGGGAAAGATTTTCACAAGATAATGTGTCACACGAAAGCCCTGGGAACAAGGTTGATAATGTGTAATATTATTATAAGGGCATCTCACTCGATATAACTATTAATTGTTGGGTTTTGTAGACGAAAATTTTGAGTGTAAATTTTATACATTTATTGAACCTAACCAGGAGCTGTTGTGAGAAATACAACTATAGGCCCTCTAGCAGGAATTGAACCTGCAACTCTGCGATTCTCGTGCAGTGTTCTAACTAACCGAGCTAGTCAACAGAGTCTTCAAAAAGTTCAGTATACTTACAAGGTGCATCAAGTAGTGGTAGAAATGTCACAGTAGCTGTGATTTGTCTGATCACATCTCGGATCTCATTTTGTATATCTTTTAATGATTTCTCTTTTGGTTTGCTAAACAAAGGGCGAACATTGTTGAAAATAATAAAATGCAGTGGCGAAGCTAGCCATGAACAGCCATATCTTAGCAATAACAAAGTTACCTGGTCTCAGTCATGGTTTTATCACACTCCACGTCAAACTGCCATCGTTCCAAAGGTTCATGAGTATCAATATTTATGATCACAATAACTAGTTTTTTTACAGTTTTCTCAAACAACCAATCTATGGAAATATTAATTTGTGAAATTATAATCTAGACCACGAGCAGTCCGTCGGGAGAAAGAAGGGACTGCTGTCAACACGTCAATAAACGAAATATGTGTTGCCCACACAACACAAAATTCCATTGGTCGAAATCGATGTTCCTGTCAATCAAATCTGATATGTAGTAATTGTGCTATAAATAATTTCCAGACTGAATGTTTGATTTTATAAATAAACATGACATTAAACGGTCCCTATTGGATAGATTTAATTGGATATAAGTAATGTTTATGCAAAGGCGGAGCCAACTTGACAAGAGTGAAAAGTGGGCATATTTCATTTCTTGATATGTTGTCGGCAGTCCCTCCTTTCCCCTCCCACGCCCGGGAAGCTAAATCCATGGAAAGGAGGGACCACTCGCAGTCCATTATATTAAATCTGACTTCCAGCACTGTCCAAAAGCCAAATTAATAGCGCAATAGTTCTGGACATAATTTGATCAATGTTTCAGTAACTCCACTGACCTTTAACTTGTGTTAAAACATTACTAATATATTCTTTGAGTTTTTCATCATCAGTCACAAGCAAAGTCAGACCATATTTTTGTTCTCGTTTGAAATTTTCTGGTGGGTAGATACCTCGTTGATATAAAATACTGAAAATAGAGATAAGAAATGATTGCCATAAGGAACGATGGTCTCTCTGAATGAACCTAGGACAAATATTAACAAACAAACAGAATGAAACAGTCAAATTATGAGTCAATATTATTACAGTATATAAAAGAGTAAAGTCAGTCATATATTCACTATAAATTCACCTGTTTATTCCATAACCTAAACAAAAACAAAACCGCCAGTTAAACAAAATACAATATAAATATCAAAAGGCACTGAACATACTTTATATTTACCAAAAAACTCAGCCACCATCTCTGTACTTCCTTTCAAAGTGATAGCATTGCTTTGGACTGTTGCCGCCATTTTTTAAATTTTGACTGCGCTAGAGGATAACGAAAGCGATTCCACTGATCTGAATAAATTATCTGGATAACCACTAGGACCGGTTCTAGGACCGGGGTGCAGCGCTATTTTTACCCCACAGGCTCGTCAAAAATCATAAATATTTCAGCGTGTGGTAATTCACATCGAAATTGTGCCTAGCTTTCCTGGCTTGACAATGTTTCCTAGTTTGCCCATCTTCAGGAAATATGACTAAGGGAGTAGGGAACAATGTTTCCTGATTTGTCCATCGCAAAACTGATTAATATTTTGCTGAGGGCCGAGGTTTTTCCAGTGCACATTTTCATTAGATCTTATATTAACCGTGATTAGATGGAATAGACGTATAGCACTTATTGGCGATAATAATATAGTGCATTTTGTTCAGATAATTATTACATAATATACGAAGCTTTACAAAAAGTATTGGAACTTTTCCCTGCCGCGTATATTTTGTACACAATTAAAACAGCGTAACTGCAAACCTGCTTTAGAAAACATTTTCCTTTTATGGTTAACGCCATGACATCAAACACACACATTTGAACAGGTTGTTTGACAACATGACAATTCACCTGTGATTAGTAAACGTCATTTTAGAGAAACAGTGCCATACTGCACACGTTTCACAAAAAGTCCGCGCTATAAACTTTTAAGGCAGTTAAAAAACTGCGCTGAACAATTGAAATATAAAACCCAACGGCGATTTCACTAATTAAACAAGCTATCTTAGCTTGCCTCGCATATAACAGGTTATGTGGTTTTCTACAAGTTTAAGAAATGCACTCCTGCATAAAAGTACTTCAAAACTGGCTTGTGTAGCATAGCAACCTTAAACGAGAGGTTTTCTGTTTTAGCAACTGCGGTTTGTAGCGCAATTGCAATTTGTAGTCGCAGTGAAGTGCAAAGAACGCTGAGTACATTTCTCGAAAGAAACAAAAAAAAACTTCCTTTTGAAGGCTACAGTTTTTCGCTACTCAAATAAAGGTAGGGGACTTGGGGTAGTATGTATTTATTGATATACAATAAAGCAGTTCAGAACTAGACGTTTGATTTATTTGCGTGACGCATGTTAATAAAATATAGATACTAACGCAATAGAAAAAGCTTTCAATCTCGCGCTATTAAACGTTGTCAAGTCCGCTAGACCTGGAAACAAATGCGACCTCAGGACCCTGAACGTTTGTTTTGGGAAGATTGAGGAACAATTTTCACATATATGGGAGAATCCTTAGGTATCATTATATAATTTGAGACATGTGACATAAATACAGTTTATAAGTATATATACTTTGTTGTTGCATAAAAAACACGTTTTCTTTTTGTTTAGCCGTAAAGAAATATGGAGCCACAGCAGCAACCCCCTCCTTATTCAGCAGGCACAAGTGCTCCATACCCGTCCAAAGCTGGAGGTCCACCTATGCAAGCTGGTCATGCACCGATGCAGCCAGGATACCAGGCTAACTCAGGATACAGGGCGGCTAACCCTGGCTACCCATCTGGTGCAAATCCTGCAATAACCACCACAACAACGAGAACAGTTGTACAACAACAACCTCCTGTGATGATCAGCCCTTGTTACATGTACGGAGAGTTGCCAGTCAGTATGCAGTGCCCGACTTGTCATACGCAAATTGTTACCGCAACTGAATTTGCCCCTGGAGCCCTAAGTTGGCTTGCCTGTTGCGGATTGGCTGCGGTTGGGTAAGTGACACCTCGCTGTTTTTGAAAACAATATAAATAAATAGAAATGTAGGCTGATGACGTATAACCGTTTAAGGTTGTTCACCGCAGCCAATCATTTCCCAATCCAAGAATCTAAAAATTAAATTTTCAGAAAAAAAACTTCCCACTGTATATAAAAATATAAATTTCATGCAAACATTACATTGTATTCAATATGTCAATTTAATAGTAAAATGAAGAAGCGAAGGTAAATTTCCTCCTCTACAGGAATCTCACCATAGAGATGCAATATTTTGGTATTGACTTGCAATATTTTAATGTTGACCCACAGTGGCTCAAACTATTAATTATAGGGTTATCTGAATAGTTTAACATTTAGTTAATTCAGATAACCTGTGTCATGTCAGTTTAAATTCAATTATTATTTCATTCTTGTAACTTTTATTTTAATGGCGCTAATAAATTACATGTTATGTGGAGGCGTAAGCTAGACACTAATCTGCCCTTTCTTATATCATTTTAGATGTGTACTTGGCTGTTGTTTCATTCCATTCTGTGTTGACGAGATGAAGGATGTCACACATACATGTCCCAACTGTAAAGTCATCCTGGGGATTTATCGTAGACTGTGACAATTGTCATGACAAAATGTTAATCTTGTTAGCCAAGTAGTAGTGATACACAGCACGCTTGCAGTTCACATGTGTAGAAATGTAAAAATAAAGATTTATGACAAAACTCTGTAAATTAGAGTATATTGAAATGATAGGAAAGAATTTCATAGTCCAATATCAATGAACACTTTTTGCATTTGCAAGCATGCATGAAAAATCTTGAAAATAATATATTGCCAGCTTCTCTGCAATCATTTAAAAAATATGATAAATACTCGTACTTATTAAAAACCATATTACATCATTTTACACCTGAAAAGAAGGCTTAAACCTTGAATAAACAATATCCGGTATCTGACCAGATATTTTATGTATCTGGCGGGATCCCAGATGAGATTATCCTGGGTATGGTACCAATCTGGTCATGGAATTAATACATATAATAGATATTTGCACACTCAGATACGAGAATATCCGAGTGTTAAAGTTTTTTATGTGTTGTTTGGTTTTCAATTTGACACTTAGATATAGCTACTTAGTTTTCTACTTTTTACGCTGTTTCTTCCACTTATAAACCACAGGTCCGTCTTCACCAGTATTGACCTTAACTCTCCTTCCCTTACCCATCAAATGTTTTTGCAACTCCATTTGTTGTTCGATCGCACTTAGATGCTTTTCTCGTTCGATTCTCTTTTCCAACTCGTTATACGCTCGTTTTCTTGCTTTCTCCTGTTCATTAGTCGTCGTTACTTCACTTTGGTCTGACGGATTCTTGTTCGTTAGCCCATAATGTGCTGCCGGGTCAAAGGACTCCATTTCATCTTTTGAATCGACAAAAACAGTACGAGAATTAACATGGGTGTCTCGCTCTCTGATCAAGTGAAGCGAACACTGAAGCCTCTCAACTTTTTTCTTCTCGGTAATTCTCTTCATTCTAGCATAATTGAGATCCTGGCTTTTCATCATTTTCAGTTGCTCATTAGTATGCGGTTTTTTACTTTCAACAACATGAACGCCATTGCGTGTTTTAGTGTTAATCATTTTATAATAAAACTCATCTGGATTCTTGTTTCTGGCCTTCTCACGAAGCAGTTTAAGGTGGTCCTCCTTTCGATGAAAGTCCTTGGCTCTTTGAACATAATCTTTGTGTTTTTCAAGCAAACCAAATTGCTTTCTTTTTGCAGGCTGGCTTCGTTCCCTATGCGTTCTTTGCAAACTCTTCTTGGCGTTCTTAAAAGACGACATGTTTTCCACAAGCCTTGTGTAGTTTACGGAGTAAAATTGTTCTTAAATAAGTAGAAAAATGCAATGAAATTTCACTCAGAACCTTACACGTCGCCTTAAAACAGCGTCCATTTTGTTTTTACACCCGATTCACATCTGCCCATTGATCTCTATATTTCTAATGGAGCAGTTGGAGCACAGATCTCACCAGGAAGAGGGGGACCGGGGGGTGTACCACAGAGGTATCCCCCACTCCCCATAGGATCTGGCAAACGAGTCATCTTTTACAAAGTTTTTTTCCTCTAATCCTTTTCAGTTCAATACATAAATGTACATTTTTTATTTGTTACATATTGCATAGCAATTACGAAGTGGATTTATCGACAATGAATGTTTGACATACGTAAGACACGTAACACTATGCTATAGTATTACAACTGGTCATAAATATCATTTCTATGAAATATTTAAATACAAAATAGGCTTCATTATATGAACTGATGCCTTCAAATTTCCAAAAATAACTAAACTATTTTCTGTGATATGTCTATATATCATGATACTATCATTTATTTGTCTTATGTCGATTTTACCATGATGCCGCGGTGCAAAGAGACGTCTCTGCTGTGAACACTGGTCTGTAAGCTCATGGTAAAATCAGCTGGTTAATTTGTACTGGATTTGTAATGGTGTCCATTCTGTGGAACTTGACTCGCAATTTTGCATATCAATTGCGAAACAATTTCACAGTGTCCCTGCACAGCTGTTCAGAGGCGTAGCGAGTGTATCATTATTTAGGGGTGCAGGTCTTACTTTTGCCGACAACAATGGCTTGCCAACAAAATGCTGTGGTATCTTACGAATTGTAGTCTGTGAACTCAGACGTCGTCAGGGTTCACAGACTAAAGAAATTGTCAATAGGAAATTGAATGTAACATATCCAGTACATAAAGGACTCATTATTTTGCGAAAATGAATAAAATGTAACAGGTTTTGCCGACCCCGATCCTCACCCACCGCCCCCCTCCCTTTCGCTACGCTCCTGCAACTGTTAGAGGACAACCTGCTGCATCAGTATTGGATTACGTCATCCTAAAGCTCCAGGCTATTTATTGAAGGTGTAGATCCATTTCTTTGTTCATCAGTCATACCTTCTGACACCATCACGTGATACCTGAGAAAAACATATCAGTGGGTTTCACTCAGTCTCGTATCCAGGCGCTTCAGTGTGCTACGGCATCGCGTGACGCGCGCATGGAAAATGTTTCAGGGTAGTTAAATCCCTTCCCATCAGCAGCTTTCTACATTGTACTTGGTAGCTAATATAAATAGAACTGACAGATTGAGAAAGATCTACTCACTTTAGCGTTCTTGACATGAATCTTGACTGCGAGTTATCCCAGACCAGTGTGTAAGTACCGGCTGATGTACAATGATAAAATCTGAAGAAACAAAGACATATGACGTATTTGGTACACCTATGGTTCTAGTGAACATTTTGCATGGTAAACAGCGACGGATATTAACATACCAACTGTTTTACTGTACCTACCCGACATTAGCTTTGCTACCATGTAAGGGATAGTCAGGCTTCACTACCCATTCCTCTCTTCTGTTTGAACTTTCATTCTCTTTGTCACACCGCTTTAGAAACGACACTCCAAACTTGATATCTTTACTAAAAACAATATACTAATTACGTTATATCCATTTTCAATAAACACAACTAAACTATTTTCCCTGTTTACTTTGGATAGCTATCTATGAGTTATAAAATAGTCTCCCTAGAAGACAAGTTACGGCCACCCCTTACCCGTCCAGTGTTATTACAGGAGGATAGCAAAACTAATCTTCATTTATAGCTCTAAAATTTATGTCTAAACTATCCTCCCTTGGTTCAATGAGGGACATCCTTTCTTGGTCCAGTGTTTCTACAGGAGAATATGTACAGGGAGAAAACCACTGTTCCCACATGTGACTAAATTTTATTCATTGTCTCAAATTTTAATCAATCACTACATTTTAATCATGACATAACGAGTGTACTGATCGTAAGATAAATACCTTGATATCCTGTAAAACCAGCCAATGGATTCGTTTTTCCCCTCACATTCAATTTTGTGTGAAAAACTTTTCTTTGCCGCTGTAGGTAAAAGTTACAGTTGTGTGTTAAAACAAGACCAACACTTCCCCCTTGACGAGGATTTTGTGTCATCGATGTCTTTCGTTTAAATAAATGATATCCTTACCGATATATTCTTCTTTCAGTTCGGGATCTTCACTCATTGCGAGCTAAAATAAATAAAATATTTAGTATATAAGTATTTCTCGTGGACAAAACTAACTTTATTTATACTGGATAGCTCTATCAGTTCTAAACTGTTCTCCTTAGAGGTCCAGTAAGGGTCATCTCTTCAATTATTGTAGTATTGCTACTAGAAGGAAACGGTGCACCCAGAGAAAAGTTGTGATGTTTGGTAGTGAAAGCTGAAAGCACTCTTCTCAAATACACCTGAGGCGAAATTATAATCAGAAACCGTTTGCGTAGTTGAAGCAGCATTACTTAGACGAACGGCCATTCTATCAGCAAAATATTAAAAGCCACAACTGGCGATAATTTCTCATTACCATATGTTTGGGTATTTCAGGCAGACAGCCATTCTCGCATCGACATGTTCCACCATACTCTACAGGTAGATCTTCCGCCTCGAAATAATCCAATAATTTCCCCATTTCCAGAGAGTTTAGAACCACGCATTTATCACGAGTCTTCGGATCGAGGAATGATTTCGCTACCCTCCATAAGTACGGAAAAGCCCTAGAAAAAAATCAAGATATTTTTTTAGATTTTATGAAAGCGAATAGTTTTTGGCAAACGTTAATTAAAAATTCTAATTACTGATTAATTACTAATTAATAACTTAATTAGTTACTTACCATGGTGTATTTACGAGAAAAATCTAAGAAAAGAAAATATTAAACACTCAGTTCATATAATCGCGCTTGGCGGAAATTATGGAGCCATCCAGTAAGGACCACGCAATGATCCAGTGTTATTATATGTAATATGTACAGGAAACCTAAACTAAACTAGCTTCATTTAATTTATACCAGATCACCTCTTCCTAAAACATTATGTTCCTTTATCGATAACTTTGACAGTTTGAAGTATAATTCATCTAAACCTATCATACCTAATGGAAAGGCAATTGACATTTTGCGCAAACTTCGAAATATTTACTTTATCTGTCTTTTGTAGCAAGAGAATATCCCTGATCTCTCCTTTGACGTGCGTAATGTTTGCTTTGTCTGGGGAACTAACTTTAACTTTTTTTGTACTTTGGCTACATTGATACCATATCGGATAGGTTTCCGTAGCGACGCGAAAAAGCACCTATCAGATACGGAATGTACAACTTTCAGAAGCTGAGCGAATCAACATCTCTTCGTTGCCATAATTCCTCTAAAAATTGCGTTCCTAAAATGTACGATAGCATCGTCACCGAAAGCTATCTGGCACCCTCTTAACGTAGATGCCAACCGAAGCTAGTTTATAATACATGTACCTTTCCAACTCTTTCTGGATAATATTCCTGATCCAATTTTACAAGACGGGTAAACAAACTTAAGGCTTTCCTACAAATATGTTGAAAGGAAATTATTATGCCTGTTTTTACGTTTTACCAGATTAATAATTTTTCCAGCTTACCTAAGGTTTAATGAAGCTCCAGCAAGATCATGTAAATGGTCTAAAGTTGTTATTTCTTTATTCTGTATAAAATTGAGGAAAAAATGTTGAAAAGTTATGCATGTTAATTTGTTAGAAAATGGACTTATACTAATTGATTCTAAAGCACCCACAATTTGTTACAAGCCTGACTTACTAATTCTATAGATTTTTCTGCCATCTGCTCAATTTGTTTCTCGGTGTTCCAAACATGCCATCTTATTATTTGATCTTCTGGCAGCTAACAAATGCAAAACTTGATATTAATTTAACAAATAAATTAATTTTGGGTTATGATGCAGTCCATATACAAGTAACCATTCACAATACTACTAACAACTCAAAGAACATACTCGCAATAGAGCACTGACATCCACTCTTCCTGTTTTCTCAACATAACATGGACGTCCTTCTTTGTCAAATTTATGGAATCCATATGACATTATCTGGGGGAAAACAAAATGGATGATCAGGGAGCACGAGTAGTGGCATACCCAGCAAATCTTGGTGGGGGTGACATGACATCATCAGGAAATTATTGGGGTAGGGACTAGTGACTGCTGAAGGTGAGCTTACTAGAGGAATAAACCAACCATGCAACAAGTTACTTACATTTTTTAACTCTTCAGTTAGTGGTCTCTACAGAAGGATGACATTGAAATTAATTTTGTTCATTTTGTATAAACGATATGCAATTTATTTTCAGATTTTAGATTTTACATACTGGTGTTTTTAATATGTTGTCTATATCGTTGTTTCTTCTCCATTCCCATGTTGCCATATATTGCCTAAAAATTATAATGTATTTTACAGTGTGCAGGAACAAACAACCATACACTGGCATGCCAAACATCAAACCATTGTGACTAGTGGGCTCTATGCAGGCTAATTGGGTAAACAAAAAACAATGGACAAACTAATTTTGTAAGTGCATTAGTGCCCTTCCCCCCCCCCCCTGTAAGATGGTACGAGAGTGCATGGCAACATTATGGGTTAATTATTAACCAAATCATTGAATAACAAAAACAGTTTGATACCTGCAGGCTCCATCTACATCAAATTCCCTTGCTCTTAGGAATCTCAATAAGGTTGCCTAAAATATGATAAAAATCAAAAGAATTTTATTGGTTAACGTCTTGTTTATATATACACTGCCATCACTTTAGTATATAAATGAACTTATGGTTAATGCTCGGCAATGGCCTCTGTAGTTCAGTTGGTTAGAGTGTTGCACCAGAATTGCAGGGCTGTAGGTTTGATTCCTGTCAGACGGCCTATAGTTGCATTTTTTCACAGCTAGCTGCTCTTTGTTTATAATAGGCCTAAAAATATGTATAATTCACACTCAAATTTCCATCTAAAAAACCTTCAATACTTAACCCCATCAAGGTAGACGCCCAAAATCCTGATAAGATATGCACCATATGCCTACCAGATTAAAACTCACTTAATTCCTTGGACCTGAGTCAAAAGACAATGTATTATCCATTGGGGTGCATTGCAGATTAATTGTTTACAATAGATGTGGGCAGATTGCATGTGAAATCAACTGTGACCCATTAGAGCCGGACAGATAAAATCTAGTGTCAGACAAAATAAAATGATGTACCACATTGGGCTACATTGCTTGTTAATAGGTTAGACATTAACTGAGATACAAAATTCTCTGGTCCAAGGGTCTGAAGCAGAGCGTCTGAAGGGTAAAATAATATCATACCATAAAATATAAATGTTGAACAAACAGCAAGCTCTTACAAAGACGCCTTTAACTAGCGCTATTTTTACTCTTTTTGCATCACAAAGAAGACGTGAAGTGACAAATTAAATTCATCTAATATTTGCTTGCAACAATTTATGAATTTTACGTAATTGCATAATTGCAACATCATCGTCCGCTCCAAAATTATGTAAGGTTGATGACCTCTTAAAATAAATTTCTAACATTTTACAAATTTTGTACAAAAGTACATCAAATAATGACATTAAATTTAAAACCGTTAGTATAAATATATCGGTCTTAGGTAGCGGGTGGCTGGTTTACTTGTGGCAAAATTCATGTTAAATTTGCGAGACATTTAAACCCAATTAAAAATGTTTTCGCGAGAGGAACATTAATTGTGTTATATTACTGACAGCACTAAAAACCTCCCATTAATATTAGCGTGATTCTGATCAATAATGACCGAGTACAACATTTATATACTTAACACTTCGAAATATTTGTAGCATGCAATAAATATTGAATATTATACAATAATATACAAGCCTTTCAGCTATTTAATACTTAACAAATATTCAACTGTTTACCTCGTCTGCAAGCGATTCTTCGCTTAATTTTCCCTTCAAATCGGCGAGAGCCTTTTCTTCGGATTTTGTGAGAGTTCTTGAAGGCAAGTTACTCATTTTAGTTATCGATTGCTCGCTGCTTTTCGCTAAATATTTATGAAATGTTGACTTTGTTATTCTCGCGTGAACTACTGTGGGCACACGCAATTTACATATGACGTTATCGCGAATTTTCTGAGCTGTCTAAATCTAAACGCCTTCGCAATATTTTTAAAAGCTTTCGACTTCCTCAATGTTTTACTGTAGTTAATGCATACTCTTGGGTATTTCTGTCAATTCCTTCTAACTGTGCTTCTGCTAAAGTCTTCACAATATGCATGCATTTGACTTTTCAAAAAAATCTTATATCCGCCCTGTGGTAAACAGTGGGATTTTAGAACAATGAAAAGACAATGCACATTTCTATCATGATGCCAAATCACCATGGTCCAAGCGTATAAATCATGTATAATTATTAAAAAATCACCAGATACAGACCTGACTAGCTACTAACAACCGACTAAATATCTTAACTGAAAGCTAGCAAATGATCATTTTAAAATTGCGTGAAATAGAAAAGATGCTATTTGTTATATTTTACATAATTGTATAAATTGAAAATAGGATACTGTTGCTCAAACGCCATAATTTTTTATTGAGACAATGACATTTTTTACTCTTGAGTGTAGAGACTAGCAGCAAATACTATATCACGTTTGAACAGATTTGAAGCCTCCTCCATTTTTAATTCGACGTCTTTAACACCAAGACATTTTGAGGCGTTCTTCACATCGCAGCACAAACCATTTAAACGCTGAATACATTTCACAAGTATGCCTGAAATAATGAAATAAAAGTTGGATGACATCTCGAGTGTTTAATACTGTCCCTCTTCTCACATAATCACGGCTGGAAGGGTTGGTTTTCGGCGAGGGAAGATACCTGGAGAAAAACACTAGAAACTTTACCTTCCTCTATATCCGTAAGATCAGTGATTTCATTAAAAGGCATTCCTCTCGCCCATTCAAGCACAACTTGAATCAAATCAAATTTAAATTGCTGCACAAACTCTTCACACGACGTATCCATTCCGTGTTTTTTCTCTATGTTAGCAATTTCTCTGGCAGTGACTAAAATTCTTTCTTTTCCCTACAAGCGTAACATGAAAGGCATTGAAGAAAATAAAGGATGGAACACTCATCATGAAACTCAATATCAGAGGAAAACAAGATTGAACATGAATATTTGAAGATTATTACAAACTCATCGTCAGACTAATTTGGTAGTAAATGACATACTTCTTTGAGTTTTTCAGTTAACGTTGGTAAACTGTGTGATTTCTAAATAAAAACAAATTGATTTACTGTAAGCAAGTTGAAGTAAAAATGCAATTGTGTTTACACTATACGGACCCGAGATGGACTAAGGGTTGACCCAAGCCATGTATATATTTTTAGTGAAGATGCTGTTTTACCACAGGAAACTAAATAGGAGAACTACCTGTTCGAAGACAAAACACGAGAGAAGAGCAACAACTTCAGCAGGATCGAAATCGTTGAAAAATTTATGATAGAGTAGATGAGATATAAGAACTTCATGACTGCTTATCTCGCACGCGACACGGCCTTTCATTTCAGTCTCTTTGCTCTTGTTTAAATAACCAAGTTCAACTAAAACCTAGAAAAACAGATAAAGATTTACTACAACAGTGGTGGAAAAGTGTTAGTTCTTCTATCTTTCATTTCTGTGATTGGGGTTTGAATCCTGTAATATGCACTTGTCCTGTTGTAATTTTAAGTGCTTCGAGTTTTATTCTACCAAACACCTACTACGTTTTATTCTACCCAGGGTACTTCGGTATCCTCCTGCATGTAGTGACACTAGACCAATAAGAGATGGTCCTTACTAGACCTTTAGCAAGAACAGTTTAGAACTGATAGACTAATTCAGTATATATAAGTTAGAGATTTATATTAGAAACAATTGACAGAATATATACCTCCACACGATTTCGATATTCAGGAGTAAGACTCAGCTTTTCTATTGATGATTTTTCTTCTAAGTTTGCAATCTTATCCCTCAATATCCTTTCCCTTCTGTATTTCTTGAACTGAAAAAATAATAAACAGCAAGGGTAAGATAGCATGGACACGTAACAAGTTAAAGACACAGTTTATAAGTTCATTGGCGAAGTAATTTTAAAAATAAACATCGTCTAAGCTACGAAAATCAAAGCTGAAGTTTAAGTAAATCAGGACAAATCTTTATTAGTAATGAGTATTTCAAGGAGAGATAAGAGAGAGCTGATCAGAGATCAGAATATGGGATGGTATAGATATTGTAGAGATGGCTAGGAAATCAAGGTCAGAACTTACATGCTCTTCAAACTGTACACACAGTAGACAATTAAAACTTTGATTTCGAGATTCCAAGAATTTCTGACGTGTTCTCCTTTCATGGAAAGCCAAATTTTTGATAGGGAGGTCTGTCATGGGTAAACCTTGTGGATATGTTTCTGAGAGCCGAAGTAATTCTTCAGTCGCAGCGCTGATGGATTTTCCCGGTGGATCATGCCTGTAAAAAGAAAGTTATATACGTTGGGTGGCACGTGTTGTTAGCATGCTATCTCTTACCATAGAGTTACTGTACTGAAGCCTGCTGCTGTAAGTTGAGGGTAGAACTTCGACGTTTCGAGCGAAGGAAATTCTTCTGGAAGTTAGTAGAATGATCACACAAGTTCAAGGAACTATCACTACCTCCTACCTTTGAAATCATCAGCAGACTAACTAAAGTTACAATGGTGTTCACAATTGTACAACTGAAAGTATACTGGGGGGGGGGGGGGGGGATTGTCGCAGCTTCTAGCTTTGATAACCTAATTACACACCTAAAGCGTGGCTGTTTTCTTTTGTTAAAATCATTGATCATCGCTTCACTGTTCAAATTCGGTTTCACTTGACTAGTAATAACGACAATTTCCTCTTCTCGTATTTCAACTATCGTGTGTGTAGACGGTCTCTGGGGACAATATACTTCAATACTGCATGCGTAAGGCTCAACGATCACTTCAGAATCCTCATCGACCATTGGTACTTGTTCCTCGTTCCAAATTACTTCGTTGTGATCGCAAGCTAGCAGTACAGTATATGATTTCTTCCCGTGTTTTGAATCCAGAGATGAGAATTGTGATTTCTTGCCCAGAATCATTCCATATCGAGTTAGGAATTGTTTGTTCGTTATAATAACTATACGACCAGACGTTAGTGATTTTTGTCCACTTGGCGAAGACACCATGGTTAACTACAAAAAAATAGCAACACATATATAGCGAGGGAAAGTCTATCTGGCAAGAAGAGTGCTTCTAATTTGACTACCAAATTACCAAACACGGACTGTTATACTCAAGTTTCCTCCAGTTGTAAGGATGGCCCTTACTGGACCTCATGGCAACAAATTAGAAGTACATCTGTACAGGGTAGCTCTATTAGTTCAGAACTGTTGGGGTCATTCTCTATTGATCCAGTGTTACTACAGGAAGAAACCTAAACTAAACTAACTTTATTTATACTGGATAGCTCTATCAGTTCTTAACTGTTCTTCCTAGAGGTCCAATAAGGATTGTCTCTTATTGATCCAGTGTTACTACAGGAAGAAACCTAAACTAAACTAACTTTATTTATACTGGATAGCTCTATCAGTTCTTAACTGTTCTTCCTAGAAGTCGAGTGAGAGCCGTCACTCGTATTGTGTTCAGTGTTACTACAGGAGGGAAACCTAAACTAAACGTACTTTTATTAGGAAAACTGGGAGCGCTCTTCTCAAATGTGACGAAATTATAATCAGACAACTGCATATTGCAGGAATTTAATCCGGTCACACAAGTGAAAGAGAAAAGAGCTAAACACTATACCACCAACGCAGCAGAGCATATCTAACCTGCAGAGGTTTGTATAGTGTCGTTAATTCTTTAGCGATGTCATAGTAATCTTCCACATCAAGCGAACACTTTTCACAACATAGTTTCTCTACTTGTTCAAGTTCTTCAGTGAGTTTTGAGATCATTCTTTCTCGTTCTGGTGCTTTCTTCAACAAGTAGAATTCATCAAAACTACGTTTCATCATGTCCTCGACAGACAGGTCGTCTGAGCGAAGAAGATTTAGCATCATGGAGTACGTTAAACGGAACCTGGATTCTAGTGGCGTCGGTTTTCCCTACCAAGTCAATGATAACAGTATTAATCATTTGCAGCAACAACAACAGCAACAACAACAACAACAGCAACAGCAACAGCAACAGCAACAGCAACAACAGCAACAGCAACAACAACAACAAATATTATGATTATAATTATAGTAATGATGTTATTAATAAAAATAATAATTGCACTAGCTGGCATTTTATTGTGGTCATTCCAAGGCCAAATAAAAATAATAGTTGGTTTCAGGTTTCACAGCCATGTTTTATATGGGTAGGTAGGTCGGAAAAGCATTTTATTTAAAAAAAAATCTTATCTCAAGTATGCAATAAATATAAGTTGTTTATGAGTAACTGTCACGCATAATCAGACGTGCCACATGGGATCAACCGCGAGCTACACATGTTTTGCGAGAAACAAATGCATCAAGGATTAACATGACTAGATAATGATTAAATTATGAGCAAACAAAATACTTTGTAGCAAATGAGTCTGATGACTATTTATATATTCTGATATTTACGAAAAGATGATCCCTATGTCAATAAAATGTTTATGGTCGGTCATATTTTTGACAGGTCGGTCGGAAACCTGAAACCAACTATTATTTTTATTTGGCCCAATATGGTGGCCATATAATCATGCATACCAAATGCATTATTCAGTCCAAGGTCAGCGGCTTACCATCATCATTTTTTCGACAGCAGAGATTTCCGGTACATCACCTTTGCATAACATTATGACAGTACCAATGTCGTCCAGTCTTCGTCTGCCTGCTCGGCCTGCCATCTGTATAAACTCCTCAGGCAGCAATTCCCTTTTACTTACTCCATCATGTTTAAGAAATGAATCAAAGACAACTGTCCTTGCAGGCATGTTAACACCCATTGCAATTGTCTCCGTTGCAAAAAGTACCTGAAAGTTGACATATGATAAAAATATCTTGAAAGTTCGATATGGCTACCCAATTCACCCAGGCAGAAATTTATGATACGCTCGATAACTAAGGCCCCAGGGTTGGTGTTAGCGAGGGAGGAAAACCGGAGTAAGCGGAGAAACCCCCTGGAAGAACAACCCTACTGTCAAATTTTCAAGCATATCAAGTCTGTACAGAGTAATACCCAACCCTCGACCTACATACAGAAGGCTTAATTGACCAGTAAGGGGGGGGGGGATCCCCCGTGCTTGTCGAGAGAGCATTAGCGCCATACATTGATGGTTGTCAAGAGGTGCTAATAAAAATCGTTTACCTTGACCAATCCACGTTGAAATAAGATCTCAACCATCTACAAAATATTTCACACAATTAGTTTTTCGCTAAACGTAATGTAATTGATTGAGCATTGTCTCACATCGGCGAGTCTCACCTCTCTTAAAATTGGTAATATACCACTGTGATGTACAGCTAAACCACGCTTCAGTTTTTCTTGCATTTTCTTCACCTACAGTAAATGGAATTGCATGTTTTAGTTTCTTAGTCCAGTGTCACCACAGGAGGAATCCCAAACAAAGTATTTTTTAATACTGCATAAAAGTCTGTTGGTTCTAAATGAACAATCTTTCGTTGTTAGGGATGCAACTACCTGAAAATATATAAGAGAATTTGGACGTTTCAAGCGAAGGCCCTTCGTCTGGAGTTTCTATCCTTGTCTGGTATCTCCAGACGAAGGGCCCGAAATTCTCCTTATATATATTTTCAGGTAGTTGCATCCCTAGCAACGAAAGATTGTTCATTTGATTGGCACGACCTGCTCTGGCAAAGACAGTTAAACGCTTCTTCCAGGAAGCCCAGTAAGGGTCACCTCTTGGATCAGTCTTCATACAGGAAGAAACAAAAGTATTCGGGAAAATGTAAAACTGGAAGCACTCTTCTCACATGCGACAGAGACAAAATTATAATTCAAAAACTGTATATTGCAAGAATCGAAGGCCTATCAGAGAGGTGAATAACCTGCGATCAGGCGTTTATTTTGAAAGACATATATGAAAGACATATGTACTGTACCACTAACACTCCCGTAAGTTTACCTGGGGTAATTGTCTATCCCGATCTTTCAATCGTGAAATGCATTTCCGAATAAAGATATGAATTTCAGATTTTTGCTTGCGCGTTGTTAAATCCAAGTTGGTCAACTTATCAGCATTCTCGTTACATCCCTTTCTTGAAAACGTAAACGCCACAACTGGGAGTCCTTCGTCCTTTTCAAGTTTTCGAATTAGGGAAATCCAAATGTTTCTTTCCTAAACACAAAGTTTCAATGGTCAGATATAATTTGAAGTCCTTCACTCGGCCACGACCTTCGCAATTCAATGATTAGCATTTTCAATCTTGACCCTTTAACTACACACGTAAAAATCTCACAACTTGTCAACAAGATGTGTTCGCAACAGGCTTGTAGCAAGCTTGTTTACAAGTTGTAACAATGTTGTTATTTTACCAAGTTGCTATAAGGTTGTCACTCACAACTTAGTGACAAATTGTTGAATTGCGGGACGATAACAAGTTGTTGGAACAACTTGCAGCAAATCTGTTGAGCTCAACAACCTTGTCGCAAGTTGTCAACAAGCCGTTAACAACTTGTCAACAAGCTGGGAACAAGCAGTGCGAACACATCCTGTTGACAAGTTGTTGGAACAGCATTGCAAGTCTGCTGCAGGTTTGTTACAACTTGTGCGTTTTTACGTGTATAGATTCAACTTTAACGCGTTCCTTCACAGACCTCATTTGGATTCGTATTCTGGCGTGCTCCCCTCGCGCCATAGTGATCTTTGGACTTCGATCTCTGGCTCTTCGCCTCCACAGCTCTCCTGTGTCCTGCTGGCAGAAATTTCCCTTTTCTATCCACAATTGGAAACATTTCATCGGCAGTCTTAGCGCTGTTCCCAGTGTAGAGAAAATACTCTAGAGGTACCGGACGTTTAGAGGTGCTGATAACGTAGATATTCTTCCTCTTAATTCGCCTACACAAGATTAAGGGATAATTTCGTTACCACAATTCCTCTATTAAACTCGTTCCCATGCTCAGTAAGCACGAAATCAACATCCCTGTCAATATCAATATTTTCAGGTTGGTTTTCACTCATGTCCTGTTGACGAGGCTTTGAACCATATTTAAATTAAGTGTTGCTCAGTTTTGTTAAAAAAGGTTTAATTGTAACAATTTCAAAGTACTTTTTTGTATGCTTGTAAAGTTAATAAATAAAACTTTCGGCAAATTGAATAAGCCTTCCAGGGCGCTTATATATGTATATATATATAAGTACTCTGAAGCTTTCTATTTACTAGCTCCCCTGCCCCAGCAAGCGGGGGGTAAATCTATATTAAAAACCCTGCAATAAATAACATCACCTTACCCCACCCATCCAGCGAATTCCTTGGCATTAGGAACAGTGGCAGATAACATGATTATACCAATATGCTCTGGTAACAAAATCAGGGCTTCTTCCCAAACCACGCCTCGCTGAGAAATACGAAACAAATCAGATTTAGCAAAATACAATTGGGAATCACGGGTAGCAGGTTTAAGATGTTAGCGGATATTGGAGATCAGAGACCTTTAAATTGTATTTTGAGATCAACTGTTAACTGTTCGAAGTTAGGGGAATTTGTGCATTAAAATTGTGAAGTAGCTACTTAGCTGTCGGAAACGTGTAGACCTTTGAAGTTTGCTGTTTGACCTTTGAAGTGGAGCTTCGGTGGCGCAGTGGTCAGAGTAAGCGCCTTTCACCTCTGAGGTCCTGGGTTCGATTCTCGCTACGAACTCATGTGAAAAGAGTCAGTCAACGCTCTTCCGAAAGTTGTGGGTTTTCTCTGGGCGCTCCAGTTTCCTCCCACAGGGAAAGTTGACAGGGTGAGTTATGGTAAACACAGTAATATCACAATTGTTGTAAAGATAAAATAATCTAGGCTAAGTAAGTACTTAGGTAAGCGTAATACTTGATGTAAAGCGTATTTGATCACATCCACATGGAAATTTGCGCTATAGAAAAATCGTTAATCGTCTGTCCATCTGTCGTAAATGTCAACTTAAGGTGTCTATCAATAGTAAATATTACCCACCTCAGCGTCATTGACATAATGGACTTCATCAAATATGACCCACTCGGTGTCTCGAATCAGTCTGGAACCGCGGTACAACATGGACCTCAGAATCTCCGTCGTCATAACAAGACAGTTAGCGTCGGCGTTAATTTGAATATCACCAGTGATGAGCCCAACACTCTCAAACTCCTTCTTAAAATCGCGAAACTTTTGATTCGACAAAGCTTTGATGGGAGATGTGTATATCGTTCTGAAAATTTGAAACTTTTTTTAGTTAAAAATATAATCTGACAGACACTGGGTCACTTCCCATATTGCTCTCCCAAAATATAACGTCACAAAGATTAGAGTTAGGATTAAGGGTTAGAATTAAGGGTTAGAATTAAGGGTTGGGATTAAGGGTTAGGATTAAGATTAAGGGTTAGGATTAAGATTAAGGGTTAGGATTAAGGGTTAGGATTAAAGGTTACGATTAGAGTTAGGTTAGATATGATCCGATTATCAAGCATTGGTAGGTTTCACTAAGCACAATCGTGAAGCAGATGGTGGTCAACCTGCAGTTATCAGAGTGAGAAAATAATGTTCATTCTTTTCATTCTCTCATGTTTCGCTCGCTACTCTGGTTTAAATAAATGATTACAAAGCCCAGTCGAACTGTAATCAAGACCCAACGTTTCGACACTCCAGTCTAGTGTCTTCATCAGGGGTGATCCAAAGTTGCAATCGTGGCTTCTTAAATACCCAAGGGATGACGTCACAATCTTCTCATTCTATTTACAGTATATACTGTAGGCTGATTTACACTACACAACTTTTGCCTAAAACTGTCGCATACAACCTGCTTACAACTTGAGTTGTATACTGTGTAAATCAAGTATACAATTCGTCTACAACAACGTTGTAGACGACAGTTTTAGACAAAGGTTGTGTAGTGTAAATGTTATGGCTGGAAAACAAATTTAGAATTGAGAGATGTCGTTCAATTTTCCTTTCCTCCTATAGATGTCAACATTTCAGAAGTTGCATGACCACCATTTGCACGGCAAGCGAGCCCCACATATTGATGCATACTTAGTCATGTTTTTCTCGGACAATGCAATGGCATATTCTGCTACGACTGTCTTGCCAGCTGAGGTGTGAGCTGCTACAAAGACAGATTCTTTATTTTCTAAGTGGACCACAGCTTGTTTCTGAAATGTATCCAGTTCAAACAAGTACTGCAAAAGACAACGTAATATACAATGTATAGTTCTCCAATTAAAGCTTTGAAATAATCAACCAAACACTGCTGCTTTTCTTTGTATTCTAGTTTCCTCCTGTACAGGCTGTAGCAACTGGGCCCCAACTTAGTTCGAACTCTTCTCCTTAGAGGTCATGTAAGGGCCATTTTCAGATTGATTGAAAGCAATCTTTTCACATGCGACTGAGGTGAATTTATAATGAAACCACTGCATGCTGTAGTAGTGAAATCAAACCACAATGCTAGCATCACCTCAATCCCAGGCAGCTTCTTCCATAGAGCAAGATACAAGATTGTGCCTTCTTTAAAATATAACTTACCTCCCTTGCCATGTCAGGTACTCTGGTGTGGAAATCTTTAACAGGATCAGTTACTAGGACTGCCCAATCTTTATCAACTGGGTCATTGACTGACTCGCTTTTCTTCATCTTCGTATCAGTTATGTTGTCGTTCTAAATAATCAGGATTTCAACACAACAATCTAATTATGACAAAAAAGGCATACACACTAACCACCTAATCACAGGATGCCATGCTTGCTAGCAATAATAATGCTATATCTATGAAATATGATTCGTCCAGGCAAGTGTGTTTTATTTTGACAAGACAGCCAACCTAAACAGGCAATTCCATCGGAAAAAATTCACATCAGCTGCTTTGGCTATGGGCAGACTTGGCTTCATATAAACACCCCCTAATTAATTAACATCAATAATTTTTAATTAGCATAACCAGGTCATGATGAGGAATGGAGGATTTTAAAACTTGATGAACATGAAAACTTCAAATACCTTTGGCAAGAGATTTTCAAGGCTTTCACTTTTTTTTAGCTCAGGTGTAGGATTCTGAGTTTCCAACACTCGGTTTTCGTCCTAAAAAATAACAAATATAACACAGTCAAATGAATATAAATCTTCATTTTTTGAGAAATCTACCTGCACAATATCTTGAAGGAAATATATCCCACATTTGATATTTCTTCTGCATTGTCCTCCATGACAGTTTGATCATCATCTTGATCAAGCCCATCATCCAGGTCTACTTTCCCACTTAAAATATCAGCAAAGCTTATTATGTTTGGTGCTGGACCACTGTCCGTTGTGTCTGTATAAGCAAGGAAATGTAAAATAATTTTAGTTAACAGAAACCAAATAAATGTAAAGCAATTGAATGGAAGCAAATAAATACAAGGGCTGGTTAAATATTTGGTCCATGGTACCTTGTGATTTAAATGAAATTTTCTGAGTAAATCCAGGTGGAACATCAAGTAAATCTAAATATCAAAAAAACATTTCCTTTGATAAAATTCCAACACTTGCACATCCAGCATTATTCCCATTATGGCGCTACACTACCTTTTTCAAAGTCAAGATCCGCAGAGGACTCTTGAGTGGTCACTTTCTTGGCAGCATCTGACTTGTCTAATCCACCTGGAATGTAGTTTGAAATCAATGATGCATCAAATAGAAAAATCCATTCCAATTGCCTTCTTGATTGCAACATTATTTGTTAATTAGCAGCAGGTTTAAAACCATTTGTAAAAAAGTGCACCTGGTTTAAATGGAATGTTGGTTGAGTTTCCCCTCACATCCGAGGTCTGAGGCTCTGGCTGTCGTAGCAGAGATGTTGAATTTCTACCTGTGCACTCAGCATTTGAAACAGCAACCTGAAAATTTCAAATGACAAATTAACAACTGAAGACTTGTGATTTGGCTACACTATAAATTAATAATTTGTTTCTACAATTTGTACAAGGAGCTAAGGTTGCGAACTGGTGAGAATAATTTGATGCAATTGTTGGTTTAAAACCAACTATATGTTAATCAAGAGTGTTTAGTCAATAATTTTTATTTGTTGTGCGATAAGTACTGCATCTCACCTCATGGTAGCCAAGCAGTTTTCCAGTTTTTGGATCTCTCTTCACCTTCAGCTCAGTCAAAACTGGTGAAAATTTTGTGTTGAATAATGACTCAGGATTCTGTTTCCTTGGCCAAAACCTTGAGAATGATTATGAGAAGCATGGTTAGCACACTATATCTTACAACTGAATTGAGTTGGCGGCTAATGTAGGTTGAGGGCAGGGACCATATTGCTTGTTTTGAGTGAACTATCTTGCACAGACTGATGTGCTTGCAAACTCATCTGCTGTAAGTAGATGGACTGCTTAACTGACAAACTGACTGATAACAGCTTCGGTCCCAGGCAATCGGTCCCAGATAAGCGGTGATGTCACACTTAGGTTCCACATGCTGACTTGCTTCAGAATGACAGGGACTAGGCTGGTCTAATAATATGTCACTGACAAACTGATTGACCTTGCCACCCAAATAACTGACCAACCAAGCAACTGGCTGACCAACCTACCAATTGACTAGCCGACTGATAGGTTATATTAGCAGACTGAGAGACTAAATGATTAATTAACCAACTGATTGACAAACTCACTCCTTGACTGACCGACTCATTGACTCAAAGAAGAATTTGTTATCTGCATTAATTAAACTACCTTTGTGATTCATAAAAATTATGAATTGGCAATTTCTCTGGATGAAGTAAATACTCTTCAAGGTCAAGGTCGTGATTGGATGGAAATATTGGTGGCAATCCATTTGGTAACTAGAGTAGACAAATCAACATAAATGGAAAAGCATTGTAATTATTGCATGCATGATTGCTTTAGTAAAATAGGATCAATTCGCCAGTTGAATGAGAACTTGTTATGTGTTGTACGCCATGCCCGACCTTTGATAGTTGTCCAGTGAGCTTATGATCATGACATCGCTCTGGTATGTTCCGTGCAGCGACTTCTATTCCACCATTACAACCAGTTTCCAACAAGTCAAAAACATCATGCAGTGTATCACATGGATCTAGTAAAAAAGTACAGGTTCACTTGCCTCTCCCCACTTTTTGAAATGGGTTTTTGTCCTTGTTGTTGCCTGTACACATTGGTAATACTGTAAAAATTATAGTGATTTGTACACATATTAAAAGCCAAGGAAAACAGAACGGCCTGCGCAATATTTTAATATCGCCAGTGCATTTTGCGATAATGTATTAAACCTAGCTATGATGCATCAATGGACCATTTGTAAAAAATTTCATCACAGAAGAGCATCACAAAATTAGTAATATTCCGAAGTTTCGTTGCGAAATGTTGTAAAATGCGGATAATATAGCCTTGCGAAGTTTGCCGTTTTTCAGTCATTTTGTATTACGCATGGGAAATTGACAGCCCAATCGGGTGTTGGGACACAATTTCCCGTTTGTAATACAAAATAACTGAATACACGGTGGCCGTAAGAGACACGAAATTCGGCAAGGGTCGACTAACTTTCTGTCGTTAGTTCTGAATATCACGAAACTTCCTCACAGGATGGAACTTGACATTCCTAAAAATCGTATGTTTTTTGTTTTTCGGTATTGTTACATTTTGGCGGGAAAATGAAGCTCCAACTTTGGCGCCAAAAAGTTAAATTTGAGTTAAGAACATGCTAGTCACTTTTTTGAAGAGATCGTACTGTAAGGATCTCAAAACTGTAAAAACATTGAACATACGCCAAAGCAATGCAGAGATATGGTGCTTAAAAATCTGAAAAATCCGCCATTTTGTTACTAAAAATAGATTTTTTTCGAAATTCGAATTGCCATATCTTCGGACTGCCATATCTTCGGACTGCCTCGTTGTATGTTCAATGTTTTTGCAGTTTTGAGATCCTTATGAGACAATCTCTTCAAAAAATTTACTGGCATGTTCTTAGCTGCTGTTTATTTTTTTGGCGCCAAAGTTGGAACGTCATTTTCCCGCCAAAATGTAACAATATCGAAAAACAAAAAACATAGGATTTTCAGGACTGTCAAATTTCATCCTGTGAGGAAGTTTCGTGATATTCCGAACTAACGACAGAAAGTTATTCGACCCTTGCCGAATTTCGTGTCTTTTACGGCCACCGTGATATGCAGGCTACCATTTTCATTATAGACTAAATTTTGCTCTAGACAAAAATTTCATCACAGCTTGAAAGAGCATCACAAAATTAGTAATATATTCCAAAGTTTCGTTGCGAAATGTTGTAAAATGTGGATAATATAGCCTTGCGAAATTTGTAATTTTCAGTCATCTTGTATTACAAACGGGAAATTGATGCCCCAACAGCCGATTGGGCTGTCAATTTCCCATGCGTAATACAAAATGACTGAAAAACGGCAAACTTCGCATGGCTATATTATCCGCATTTTGCCATTTTACAACATTTCGCAACGAAACTTTGGACTCTAGAGCAAAATTTAGTCAATAATGAAAATGGTCCATTATACATTATCCTACACTTGAACACTTCTATACAAATGCCTTAAAAATATCTTTAAAACTTCAATGATAGTAAATTTAAGATGTAAGTAAAAAGAGTACAATACCTTCTTTAATTTTTTGTAGTTCGTTCAGCTCAGACGACAAATCTGCTTGCATTTCAACTACAAAAATCTACTTCTATAAAATAACATTTCGAATTTTCATTCCGTCATTGTTTGAATTTTGTTTCAATTTCGTTTAATCATACGCCGTGACGTATCATTTAGTAGTATATTTTAATATATTTAAAAATATATCCTAGGTTGGCAAGAAAATAATGACTCGCCACGACTTAAACAAGTCGAAAAAATCAACATCTCTTCAACAAAGTACGCTAAAAAATAGCAGCCCCTACTTGTAGGATAGTTTTACTAAATATGTACAACATTTTTTTACAACGAGTTTATAAGACGAAAAAATACGAAAAGTTTCTCAATCTCGTACCCAGAGCAATGCCTGTACGCGGGCTAGGATGACATTGGCTCTGGGGAAATTGAATTTTTCCTGTGCTGTGATTGGTTTAACGTTTATCAATCGTGCATGCCGACAAAGAACCGGAACCCCTAAATTTAGGGGTTCCGGTTGTCAATTTCATTTAGGGGTTCCGGTTGTCAATTTCCCCAGAGCCAATGCTTTCCTAGCCGGCGCGGCATTGCATTGCTCTGGGTACGAGATTGAAAGTTTCTTTGAATTTGCCGTGTCTCGATGCGGGATGCCTGTTGCCGCAGACACAGAATAGGAAGTTATACCAGAAGCGTAACTCTAGTCGTTTCCCGTATTGTTTGACGTCCACGAAAATTTTTAACTCGCTCACGTCAGGCCACGCCATCCTGGCTAGTACAACCGGAAGTTTTTATCAGGATTTGGTAGGTACAAAGTGCCGGTTGTACTAGCCAGGATGGCGTGATTGATGACGAATTGCTTGTAAAAACGCGGACAAATATTTGCTCGAGTTACGCTTCTGGTATAACTTCCTATTCTGTGCCGCAGATTAAGAGGACTCTTAATCTGCCGTGCTGTTGCCATGCGAAAATCGCCGTTTCAAAACACGTATACGTGATCCCATTGGCTATAAAAAAAACGCAAAACAGCTTACAGGGGGGGGGGGGAGTTTACCATTTGTCTGCTAGCAAAATGGGTTAGGTTAAAATGCGGAAGCGGAACGGATGCGGAATAGGGTTAAAATGCGGAACGGATATAGGGTTAAAATGCGGAACGGATATGGGGTTAGAATGCGGAATTTCTTAAAAAAACAATTTTTCGTTTTTCAAACGACGTTTTCCTATACTTTCCTTATTAAATTTCAGAACGACACTTGCCAGCGCTCGTATCTGTATATACCTGATCTGTGGCTTCGAGTTAGCTCGAATGAAAAAGATTACGGCAGTAGTGCACGCGACTGCTATGTTTATAGACGATCATGTCACCCAGTGATCTGCAAAAAGCCAGGGTCTTTTACCTGCGCTCGGGCTCTTTGCTGCAGCGCCGTGCGGAAGTAAAAGACCCTGGCTTGCGAGGTTGGATGATCTGTGGATTATTTGTCAAAATTTGTCTGTTATAAAGTATCAAGCGGCGGCAAAGTTCGGTCGCCAGTTTAACTGCACTGGCGACTTTTCAAAACATTATAAATCAACTTGCAAAAAAGCTGAGGGCCATTCCATTTAATGTACCCCCCTATGGACGAGGTCAATAAAATTTGAATCCCCAAGAAAAAAAAAATCAAAGTGCCGACACAAACACACGCACCCCAGAAATTTTTGCCTTACCCCTCAGAAAAAACGCGAAGGTCAAAGGATGCCGATGCACACAACCCCTCACGAATGGCTTTTTCAAACCCTCTCAGAAATTCTCGTCCATAGGGGGGTATGGAATGGCCCTGATCATCGAACAGATACTGCATGGTGAGTTTTCTATTAATTATATCTTATAATTGTATATTATAAGATTTTATTTTTGACCAAATTTCTTTTTATATTTTCTTATATAATTTTATTTTCTATAGCTTCGAAAAAAAAAACATGATCACGAATACTTCAATTGAATCATTGTTTATATAAAAATATAAAATTGTTAGTTGTTCAACAACAAATTTGTATCACAACTACTTAATTGACATTTCAATATCATCAATACTTCATACAAATATCATACAAATCACTAACATTAAATTTTTGCTTGAATGTCGAAAATGTTCTTATATTCCCTTAAATCTTCTTATATGAATATAAGAATTAAGACGATTTTTTTCTGAAAAAATCTTATATCCATCCCTGTGGATTTTAGAACAATGAAAAGACAATGGCACATTTCTATCATGATGCCAAATAACCATAGTCCATTCGTATAAATCATGTATAAAAAAATCATCAGGTACAACCGACCAAATATCTTAACTGAAAGCTAGCAAACGATCATTTTAAAATTGCTTGAACTAAAAAAGGTGCTATCTGTTATATTTTACATATTCGTATAAATTGAAAATAGGATACTGTTGCTCAGACGCCATCATTTTTTATTGAGACAATGACATTTTTTTACTCTTGAGTGTAGAGGCTAGCAGCAAATACTATATCACGTTTGAGTAGATTTGAAGCCTCCTCCATTTTTAATTCGACGTCTTTAACACCAAGACATTTTGAGGCGTTCTTCACGTCGCAGCACAAATCATTTAACCGCTGGATACATCTCACAATTATGCCTGAAATAATGAAATAAAAGTTTGGATGATATCTTGAGTGTTTAATAGGGTCTTCTCACATGTGACTGAGGTGAAATTATAATCACGGCTAGAAGGTTGGTTTTCGGTGAGGGAGGATACCCGAAGAAAAACTCTTGAAACTTTACCTTCCTGTACATCGGTAAGATCAGTGATTTCATTAAAAGGCATTCCTCTTGCCCATTCAAACACAACTTGAATCAAACCAAATTTAAATTGTTGAACAAACTCTTCACAAGACGTATCCATTCCGTGTTTTTTCTCTATGTTTGCAATTTTTCTGGCAGTGACTAAAATTCTTTCTTTTCCCTACAAACGTAACATGAAAGGCATTGAAGAAAGTAAAGGATGGAACACCCATCATGAAACTCAATATCAGAGGAAAACAAGATTGAACAGTAATATTTGAAGACTATTACAAACTCATCGTCAGACTAATTTGGTAGTAAATGACATACTTTTTTGAGTTTTTCAGTTAAAGTTGGTTCACTGCATTTTTTCTAAACAAAAACAAATTGAGTTTTGGATAATTACTGTAAGCAAGGTTAAGTGAAAATGCAATTGTGTTTACCGACTTCGCATCTAGGCCATGTATAGCCGTATATATATTTAGTGAAGATGGTGTTTTACCACAGGAAATTAAATAGGAGAACTACCTGTTCGAAGACAAAACACGAGAGAAGAGCAACAACTTCAGCAGGATCGAAATCGTTGAAAAATTTATCATAGAGTAGATGAGATATAAGAACTTCATGATTGCTTATCTCGCACGCGACACGGCCTTTCATTTCGACCGCTTTGCTAACCGTGTTTAAATAACCAAGTTCAACTAAAACCTAGAAAAAACAGATGAAGATTTTACTGCACAGTGGTGGCATAGTGTTAGTTCTTCTTGTCTTTCACCTTTGTGATTGGGTTTTGAATCCTGTATATGTATTTGCCCTATTGTAATTTTGAGTGCTTCCAATTTTATTCTACCAAACACCACCACCTCGGTAAACTGATAGACTAATCCAGCATGCATAGGTTAGGGATTTATATTAAAAACAATTAACAGAATATACCCCCACACGATTTCGATATTCAGGAATAAGACTCAGCATTTCTATTGATGATTTTTCTTCTAAGTTTGCAATCTTATCCCTCAATATCCTTTCCCTTCTGTATTTCTTGAACTGAAAAAAAAAAATAAACAGCAAGGGTAAGATAGTATGGACACGTAACAAGGAAAAGATGGGCCTCAGAGGGCTGATAAGAGGTGAGAATATGGGATGGTATAGATATTGTAGAGGCGGCTAGGGAATCAAGGTCAGAACTTACATGCTCTTCAAAATTTACACACAGTAGACAATTAAAACTTTGAATTCGAGATTCCAAAAACTTCTGACGTGTTCTCTTTTCGTGGAAAGCCAAATCTTTGATAGGGAGGTCTGTCATTGGTAAACCGCGTGGATATGTTTCTGAGAGCCGAAGTAATTCCTCAGTTGCAGCGCTGATGGATTTTCCCGGTGGATCATGCCTGTGAAAAGAAAGTTATATACGTCACCCTTGGCCATGAGTGGCACGTGTTGTTAGCATGCTATCTCTTACCATAGAGTTACTGTACTGAAGCCTGCTGCTGTAAGTTGAGGGTAGAAATTCGACGTTGCGAGCGAAGGCTATTTCCCTGGGAGTTAGTAGGACGATCAAAAGTTCAAGGAACTATCACTACTTTCTAACTTTGAAATCATCACCAGACTAACTAAAGTTACAATACACACACGGTGTTCAAAACGGTACAACTGAACGTATACTGACAAGTACAAATAAGGTGAATGTCGCAGCTTCTAGCTTTGATAACCTATAATTACACACCAAAAGCGTGGCTGTTTTCTTTTGTTAAAATCATTGATCATCGCTTCACTGTTCAAATTCGATTTCACTTGATCAGTAATAACGACAATTTCCTCTTCTCGTATTTCAACTATCGTATGTGTAGACGGTCTCTGGGGGCAATATACTTCAATACTGCTTGCGTAAGGCTCAACGATCACTTCAGAATCCTCATCCACCATTGGTACTTGTTCCTCGTTCCAAATTACTTCATTGTGATCGCAAGCTAGCAGTACAGTATATGATTTCTTCCCGTGTTTTGAATCCAGAGATGAGAATTGGGATATCTTGCTCAGGATCATTCCATATCGAGTTAGGAATCGTTTGTTCGTTATAATAACTATACGACCAGACGTTAGCGATTTTTGTCCACTTGGCGAAGACACGATAGTTAACTACAAAAAATTAGCACCACATATAGCGAGGGAAAGTCTATCTGACAAGAAGAGTGCTTCTAATTTGACTACCAAATTACCAAACACGGAATATTGTACTCAGGTTTCCTCCAGTTGTAAAGATGGCCCTTACTGGACCTCATGGCAACAAATTAGAAGTACATCTGTACAGGATAGCTCTATCAGTTCAGAACTGTTGGGGTCATTCTCTATTGATCCAGTGTTACTGCAGGAAGAAACTCAAACTAAACTAACTTTAGGAATTGAACTCGGTCACACAAGTGAAAGAGAAAAGAACTAAACACTATACCACCAGCACAACAAAGTACATCTAACCTGCACAGATTTGTATAGTGTCGTTAATTCTTTAGCGATGTCATAGTAATCCTCCACATCAAGCGAACACTTTTCACAACATAGTTTCTCTACTTGTTCAAGTTCTTCAGTGAGTTTTGAGATCATTCTTTCTCGTTCTGGTGCTTTCTTCAACAAGTGGAATTCAGCAAAACTACGTTTCATCATGTCCTCGACACACAGGTCGTCTGAGCGAAGAAGGTTGAGCATCATGGAGTACGTTAAACGGAACCTCGATTCTAGTAGCGTTGGTTTTCCCTACCAAGACAATGATAACAGTATTAATCATTTGCAACAATAACAACAACAACAACAACAACAACAACAGCAACAGCAACAGCAACAGCAACAGCAACAACAACAGCAACAACAACAACAACAACAACAACCGCAACAGCAACAGCAACAGCAACAGCAACAGCAACAACAACAGCAACAACAACAACAACAACAACAACAACAACAACAGCAACAACAGCAACAGCAACAGCAACAACAGCAGCAACAACAGCAGCAACAACAGCAGCAACAACAACAGCAACAACAGCAGCAGCAACAACAACAGCAGCAGCAGCAGCAGCAACAACAACAGCAGCAGCAGCAGCAACAACAACAACAGCAGCAGCAGCAGCAGCAACAACAACAACAGCAGCAGTAACAGCAACAGCAACAGCAACAAATATTATTATGATTATAATTATAGTAATGATGTTATTAATAAAAATAATAATTGCACTGGCATTTTATTGTGGTCATTCCAATATGGCGGCCATATAATCATGCATACCAAATGCACTATTCAGTCCAAGGTATGAGATCGGTGACTTACCATCATCATGTTTTGGATATTAGAGATTTCCGGTACATCACCTTTGCATAACATTATGACAGTACCAGTGTCATCCAGTCCTCGTCGGCCTGCTCGGCCTGCCATCTGTATAAACTCCCCAGGCAGCAATTCTCTGAACTTTACTCCATCATGTTTACGAATAGAATCAAAGACAACTGTTCTTGCAGGCATGTTAACACCCATTGCAAATGTCTCCGTTGCAAAGAGTACCTAAAAGTTAACATACGATAAAAATATCTTTAGAGTTCGATATGATTGCCCAATTCATCCTAGCCAGAAACTCATGATACGCGTGCTCCAGTACACGGAGAAAAACAGTGGAGGAACTCGAGTTTTCAAGCATATCAAGACCGTACAGAGTAGCCAATCCAAGTAATACCCAACCCACAGAAGACTTACTTGACCAGTAAGGGGAGGGGAGGGCACACTAACTGCTTCTATCGCCCGTGTTTGCCGAGAGAGCATAAACGCCATACATCGATGGTTCTCAAGAGGTGCTAATAAAAGTCGTTTACCTTGACGTATCCACCCTGAAACAACATCTCAATCATCTACAAAATATTTCACACAATTAGTTTTTCGCTAAACGTAATGTAATTGACTGAGCATTATCTCACATCTGCGAGTCGCACCTCTTTTAATATCGGTAATATACCACTGTGATGTACAGCTAAACCACGTTTCAGTAATTCTTGCATTTTCTTTACCTACAATATACAAAATTGCATGTTTTAGTTTCTTAGTCCAGTGTCACCCCACAGGAGGAATCCCAAACAAAAACATTTTTTAATACTGGATAAAGTCTGTCGGTTCTAAACTTTTCTTCCAGGAAGCCCAGTAAGTCACCTCTTGAAAAAGTCTTCATACAGGAAGAAACAATAGTACTCGGGAAAATATGCGATTCCTGGAAATATAAAATTGGAAGCATGTTCGAAAAATCGAACCCCATCAGAGAGGTGAATAACCTGCGATCAGGCGTTTATTTTGAAAGACATATATGAAAGACATGTACGACCAACACTCCTGTAAGTTTACCTGGGGTAATTGTCTATCCTGATCTTTCAATCGTGAAATGCATTTCTGAATAAAGATATGAATTTCATGTTTTTGCTTGCCCGTTGTTAAATCCAAGTTGGTCAGCTTATCAGCGTTCTCGTTACATCGCTTTCTTGAAAACGTAAACGCCACAACTGGGAGTCCTTCGTCCTTTTCAAGTTTTCGAATTAGGGAAATCCAGATGTTTCTTTCCTAAAAACAAAGTTTAATATCAAGGCTCAATGGCCAGAAATAATTTGAAGTCTATGATCGGCCACGTCCTTCGCAATTCATGATGATTAGCATTTCCAATCTTGACCCTTTAACTACATACGTAAAAATCTCACAACTTGTCAACAAGATGTGTTCGCAACAGGCTTGTAGCAAGCTTGTTTACAAGTTGTAACATTTCTGTTATTTTATCAAGTTTTGTCACTCACAACTTGTTGACAAATTGTTGAATTGCAGGACGATAACAAGTTGTTGGAACAACTTGTAACAAGTCTGTTGAGTTCAACAACCTTGTAGCAAGTTGTCAACAAGCCGTTGAGAACTTGTCAACAAGCTGGTAACAAGCAGTGCGAACACATCCTGTTGACAAGTTGTTGGAACAACATTGTTACAAGTCTGCTGTAGGTTCGTTACAACTTGTGTGTGTTTTTACGTGTGTAGGTTCAACTTTAACCCGTTCCTTCACTGACCTCCTTTGGATTCGTATTCTGGCGTGCTCCCCTCGCGCCATAGTTATCTTTGGACTTCGCTCTCTGGCTCTTCGCCTCCACAGCTCTCCTGTGTCCTGCTGGCAAAAACTTCCCTTTTTTATCCACAATTGGAAACATTTCATCGGCAGTCTTAGCGCTGTTCCCAGTGTAGAGAAAATACTCCAGGGGTACCGGACGTTTGAAAGTGCTGATAACGTAGATATTCTTCCTCTTAATTCGCCTACACAAGATCAAGGGATCATTTCGTTACCACAATTCCTCTATTAAACCCGTTCCCATGCTCAGTAAGTCGACATCCCTGTCAATATCAATATTTTCAGGCTGGTTTTCACTCCTGTCCTGTTGACTATATTTTCAACCATATTTAAATTAAGCGTTGCTCAGGTTTTTTTTAAAAAGGTTTACTTAATTGTAATAATTTTAAAGTACTTTTTTGTATACTTGTAAAGTTAATAAGTAAATAAATAAATACAGTAAATATGCACAAGTTTAATGCGCTCCTTGCAAAAAGCGATTCGGCAAATTGAATATTAGTGTCCTGAAGCCTTCTATCTTGCACGCCTCCCCCCCCCCGTCCTAGTAAGTGGGGGGAGGGGGGGGGGGTAATATCTATATCCATTAGTACCCCACAATAAATAACATCACCTTACCCCACCCATCCAGCAAATTCCTTGGTATTAGGAACAGTGGCAGATAACATGATTATACCAACATGTTCTGGCAACATAATCAGGACTTCTTCCCAAACCACGCCTCGCTGAGAAATACGAAACAAATCAGATTTACTGAAAATACAATTAGCCATTTCCCAATCGAGCAGAGGACTGGGTCTAGTCGCTTGTTTGGAGGGACACAAAATAAACAATGTGCCGAATATGGCATCTAGGACGTTTTTCCTACATTCCTAAAGTTATTTGTGCAGCCTGAAACGCAACAATTATAATAAGGCATCTTTTAATATATATTTAGCTCGCTCACTATAACTTGTTGTCCCTCCAAACGTCCCTCCAAACATCAACTAGACCAAGTCCTCTGCTCGTTTGGGAAATGGCTAATAGGGAATCACGGGTAGCAGGTTTAAGATGTTAGCGGATATTGGAGATTAGAGACCTCTAAATTGTTTTTCGAGGACAACTGTTAACTGTTCGAAGTTAGGGCAATTTGTGGATTAAAAGTGTGAAGTAGCTACTTAGCTGTCGGAAACGTGTAGACCTTTGAAGTTTGCTGTTTGACCTTTGAAGTGGAGCTTCGGTGGAAGTTATCAGAGCAAGCGTCATCTGTGAGGTCCTGGGTTCGATTCTCGCTTAGCCTGCGAACAGGCTCTCAAGCTGAATTGAGAGCCTGCATCGATGATTAATGAATTTGAATATCTTCCCCGTAACGTTCGTTTTTCCAAATATAGAATGTCTATCCTTATATGGTGTTGTTTACAACTTTCGTGCAAACTAAATTTAGACCGTGCCGAACTAAATTTAGACCGTACAGTTTATACTGTTTTTCGAAATATAAGATATTCAAGCAATAGTTCAAATGTTTTTGTTATTTGCTTCTCACTTTCATTAACTTTTGATAGTTTTATTTCTTATAGTATAATTCGCATAATATAAACTCCTAACATGTATATACTCTATCTCTAAAATCCCGTGTCCTACAACTATTTTCGCGCCCTTTTCGTTCGTTCCCAGTTTTCCCTGTCCGAGCAAATATAACTAAAATATTAATGTCAACAGTAAATGTCCAACAGTTTTAAATACTGTTTTCTCAAAACAGAACTGATTTCGTGCTTTGAGATACGATGGCCAAGATCAATTGATCAGTTAATGTGTTTTTTTTTATGCATAGTGCTTCAGCAGTTGACATATATAGAGCTCAGCGGAAACATATAAATTATAGCATCTGACCAATGAGAATTTCGCGTCACGATTTGAGACGTAGATATTCAAATTCAATAGTCATCGATGCAGGCTCTCAATTCAGCTTGAGAGCCTGTTCGCAGGCTAATTCTCGCTACGGACTCATGCAAAAAGAGTCAGTCAAGGCTCTAGTGATAGTCGTGGGTTTTCTCTGGGCGCCCCGGTTTCCTCCCACAGGGGAAGTTGACAGGGTGGGTTAGGATAAACACAGTTAGGAAAGTAATTTCACAATGGACCATTTGCATTATAGACTAGATTTTGGTCTAGACAAAAATTTCATCACAGCTTGAAAGAGCATCACAAAATTAGTAATATTCCAAAGTTTCGTTGCGAAATGTTGTAAAATGCGGATAATATAGCGTTGCGAAATTTGCAATTTTCAGCCATTTTGTATTACAAACGGGAAATTGATGCCCCAACACCCGATTGGGCTGTCAATTTCCCATGCGTAATACAAAATGACTGAAAAACGGCAAATTTCGCAAAGCTATATTATCCGCATTTTACAACATTTCGCAACGAAACTTCGGAATATTACTAATTTTGTGATTTTCAAGCTGTGATGAAATTTTTGTCTACACTTGTCTAGATCAAAATTTAGTCTATAATGCAAATGGTCCATTGTTGTGAAGATGAAATAATCTAGGCTAAGTATGTAATTAGGTAAGCATAATACGTGTAAAGCGCATTTGACCACATCCACATGGAAATTTACGCTATAGAAAAAACGTTAATCATAATCGTATGCCATGTGTCTTAAGGTGTCTATCAATAGTACATATTACCCACCTCAGCGTCATTGACATAATGGACTTCATCAAATATGACCCACTCGGTGTCTCGAATCAGTCTGGAACCGCGGTACAACATGGACCTCAAAATCTCCGTCGTCATAACAAGACAGTTGGCGTCGGCGTTAATTTGAATATCACCAGTGATGAGCCCAACACTCTCAAACTCCTTCTTAAACTCGCGAAACTTTTGATTCGATAAAGCTTTGATGGGAGATGTGTATATCGTTCTGAAAATTTGAAACTTTTTTTAGTTGAAAGTAGAATATACTATCCGTATTGCTCTCCCAAAATAACGTCACAAAGATTAGGGTTAGGTTAAGGGTTAGGATTGAGGGTTAGGATTGAGGGTTAGGATTAAAGGTTAGGATTGAGGGTCAGGATTAAGATTAGGTTAGATATGATCCAATTATCAAGCATTAGTAGGTTCACTAAGCAGTATCGTGAAGCAGATGGTGGTCAACTTGCAGTTACCAGAGTGAGAAAATCATGTTAATTCTTTTCATTCTATATAGGCCGATTTAGTAGATTTCCACTGCACAACTTTTGCCTAAAACTGTCGCATGCAACCTGCTTACAACTTGAGTTGTAACTCACCTACAACAACGTAGGTATTTACACAGTATGACTCAAGTTGTAAGCAGGTTACATGCGACAGTTTTAGGCAAAGGTTGTGCAGTGGAAATGTTATGGCTGGAAAACAAATTTAGAATTGAGAGATGTCGTTCAATTTTCCTCCCCTCCTATAGATGTGAACATTTCGGAAGTTGCACGACCACCATTTGCACGGCAAGCGAGCCCCACATATTGATGCGTACTTAGTCATGTTTTTCTCGGACAATGCAATTGCATATTCTGCTACGACTGTCTTGCCAGCTGAGGTGTGAGCTGCTACAAAGACGCATTCTTTATTTTCTAAGTGGACCACAGCTTGTTTCTGAAATGTATCCAGTTCGAATGGGTACTGCAAAAGACAACGTAATATACAATGTACAGTTTTTTATTTAAAACGTTGTCTCAATCACATGCGAGAAAGCGTTTTCAGTTTGAATCAACCAAACACAGCGCTGCTTTTCTCTGGGTGCTTTAGTTTCCTCCAGTAGCAAGTGGGCCCTAACTTAGTCAATTCAAACTGTTCTCCTTAGAGGTCACGTAAGAGCCATTTTCAGATTGAAAGTATAATCTTTTCACGTGCGACTGAGATGAATTTATAATGAAAACACTGCATGTTGTAGCAGTGGAATCGAAGCACAGTGCTACCTCATCCCAGGCAGCTTCTTCCACAGAGAGAGAAACAAGATTATGCCTTCTTTGAAATAGAACCTACCTCCCTTGCCATGTCAGGTACTCTGGTGTGGAAATCTTTAACAGGATCAGTTACTGGGACTGCCCAATCTTCATCAACTGGGTCATTCACTGACTCGCTTTTCTTCATCTTCGTATCAGTTATGCTCTCGTTCTAAATAATCAAGATTCCAACACAACAATCTGATTATGACAAAAAAGGCAATACACACTAACCACCTAATCACAGGATGCCATGCTTGCTGGCAATAATATATATGCTTTACAATTATTCGTCCAGGCAAGTGTACTTTATTTTGACAAGACAGCCAGCCTAAACAATCACATTGGAAAAACTTCACATCAGCTGCTCTGGCAATGGGCAGACTTGGCTTCGTATAAACACCCCCTAATTAATTAACATCAATATTTTAGCACAACCAGGTCATGATGAGGAAATTCATTTTAAAACTTTATGAACTTCAAAATAACATACCTTTGGCAAGAGATTTTCAAGGCTTTCACTTTTCTTTAGCTCAGGCTTAGGATTCTGAGTTTCCAACACATGGTTTTCGTTCTAAAAAATAACAAATATAACACAGTCAAATGAATATAAATCTTCATTTTTTGAGAAATCTACCTGCACAATATCTTGAAGGAAATATATCCCACATTTGATATTTCTTCTGCATTGTCCTCCATGACAGTTTGATCATCATCTTGATCAAGCTCATCATCCAGGTCTACTTTCCCACTCAAAATATCAGCAAGGCTTATTATGCTTGGTGCTGGACCACTGTCCGTTGTGTCTGTATAAACAAAGAAATGTAAATAATTTTAGTTAACAGAAACCAATAAATGCAAAGCAAAGCAATTGAATGGAAGCAAATAAATACAAGAGCTGGTTAAATATTTGGTCCATGGTACCTTGTGATTTAAATGAAATTTTCTGAGTAAATCCAGGTGGAACATCAAGTAGATCTAAATATCAAAAAAAACATTTCTTTTAATGAATTCCAACACTTGCACATCCAGCATTATTCATTATGGTACTATACTATATTATGGTACTATACTATATTATGGTACTATACTATATTATCATGGTACTATACTATATTATGTACTATACTATATTATGGTACTATACTATATTATGGTACTATACTATATTATCATGGTACTATACTATATTATGGTACTATACTATATATTATGGTACTAAACAATGTACTATATTTTTTGTACTATATGGTACATTATGGTACTATACTACCTTTTTCAAAGTCAAGATCTGCAGAGAACTCTTGAGTGTTCACTTTGTCGGCAGCATCTGACTCATCTAAACCACCTGGAATGTAGTTTGAAATCAATGATGAATGAAATAGAAAAATCCAATCTAATCGCCTTCTTGATTGCAACATTATTTGTTAATTTGCAGCAGGTTTAAAACCATTGGTAAAAAAGTGCACCTGGTTTAAATGGTATGTTGGTTGAGTTTCCCCTCACATCTGAGGACTGAGGCTCCGGCTGTCGTAGCAGAGATGTTGAATTTCTACCTGTGCATTCAGCATTTGAAACAGCAACCTGAAAATTTCAAATGACAAATGAACAAGACTTGTGACTTGGCTACACTATAAATTAATCATTTCTTTCTACAATTTGTACAAGGAGCTAAGGCTGTGAACTGATGAGAATAAGTGATTGTTAGGAACTAGCTACAGTAATCAGTCAGAGTGCCTATAGTCAACAATATTTATTAGTTGTACTATAAGTATTACATCTTACCTCATGGTAGCCAAGCAGTTTTCCAGTTTTTGGATCCCTCTTCACCTTCAGCTCAGTCAAAACTGGTGAAAACATTGTATTGAATAATGACTCAGGATTCTGTTTCCTTGGCCAAAACCTTGAGAATGATTATGAGAACCATGGTTAGCACACTGTGTCTTACCACTTGACTCAAAGGATTTTCTAAGAAATTAACAATGTTCAATGGTACCAAGAATTTGTTATCTGTATTATTTAAACTACCTTTGTGATTCATAAAAATTGTGAATTGGCAGTTTCTCTGGATGAAGTAAATACTCTTCAAGGTCAAGGTCATGATTGGATGGAAATATTGGTGGCAATCCATTTGGTAACTAGAGTAGACAAATAAACACAAATGGAGAAGCATTATAATCACTGCATGCAGATCATTGTTTTAGTAACATAGGATCAATTTACCAGTTGAGAACTAATTTTTATCTGTTATCATCTTGTAATATGCTGTACACCATGTCCAACCTTTGATAGTTGTCCAGTGAGCTTATGATCATGACATCGCTCTGGTATGCTTCGTGCAGCGACTTCTATTCCACCATTACAACCAATTTCCAACAAGTCAAAAACATCATGAAGTGTATCACATGAATCTAGTAGAAAAGTACAGGTTCACTTGCCTCTCCCCACTTTTTGGAATGGATTTTTGTCTTTGTTGTTGGTACACAATGGTAATAAAAATTATAGTAAATTTGTACACCTATTAACAACCCAGGAAAACAGAACGGCCTGCGCAATATTTTAATATCGTCCGCGCATTTTGCGTTATTATAAAATGTACAGCTATGATGCATCAAATATACATTATCCTACACTTCTATACAAATGCCTTAAAAATATATAGTAAATTTAAGTAAATTGACAGTAAATTTAAGATGTAAGTAAAAAGAATATAATACCTTCTTTAATTTTTTGTAGTTCGTTCAGCTCAGACGACAAATCTGCTTGCATTTCAACTACAAAAATCTACTTCTATAAAATAACATTTCGAATTTTCTTTCTGCCATTGTTTGAATTTTGTTTCAATTTCGTTTAATGCATTACTTCATGTAAATCTCACAGCATGTAGCCCGAATTCTGGGTATGACGGGGTGGAATATAGAAGTGCGGGTATATGTACTCTGCGAATATGCGACAAAAATCTTGTTTGATAATGTGCATTTGCCGCAAAATTTGAGACGGTTCGTGATTGAACAAATGAGCTAAGACATGACTACATGACAAAGGATTTCTTTCTAAAAACGCCGTCTTTGAGACACAATTCCCATGGACTGGCAACAGTGCAAGGCGCGAGAAAATTTAATGCTACATTTTTTTATTTTTATTTACGATTTAACATTTATATTTAACTAGGCCTATATTTTATACACTCCATATGGATATTACTTCTTTAAGATTATGTTATTTCTGTATAATAATTATCATAATTATTACTTATTCCAATTTGCAATGAAGGTGTTTTCTCTAAATTGCAAAGTTTACGCTTGTACAATCAATACTTATGTCTTACGAATACATTGAAGTATTTACGAAGTAGGTTGAAAGATGAAACTACGTCTAAACCTACCAAGAAGTTGATACCGTTCTCTTGTGTCAGCACAATGCTACACAACTATCACAAGAACTGACTATATTAATCCAAATTATAATACTCTACCCAGTTATGCCCTTGACAGTCAGTGACTATACTTGCCATTAAACCTGTCCATAATCAACCAAGATATGGTAAAAAAAACTCGGCAAATTTCAAAGCTTGACGAAAGCCCGGATGAAACGAGGATGAGAGTGCATGAGAGTTGGCAGTCACGTGATCTTGGTTAGCTGTTCCTTAATGCTTTCCCAACACTATCAACATTAGTAGGAACAATCATCAAACCTTTATTTTGTTAATCTAGAGCTTGAAATGTCCCCTGGAACAATGCGTGGCTGCCAACTCTCATTAACTTTCTCATCCTCGTTTGACCGAGGTTTAGGCCGAGGTTAGCCTGCGTGTCAGGACTTCAAGCATAGAGCCTGATACGCAGGCTAGGCTGTGGTCTGATTTTAATACTGATACACTAAAAAAGTTTGCATAAGTCGAGTTTCCAAACTATACCATGGTTGATTATTGCTTTTACACAAATGCCTAACCATACACCAGTTCACACAGCATCTTGATAAGTTCTGTGCAAAGTTCCGATGGTGCATTCCTGTCAAAAGACACCCTCATTTCTTTCCATACTCCACCGTACTTCACCTTAGCCGCAGCAGAAGGGAAATTTCTGGGGAAGTGAACTTTGAATTTCTCCCGTTGATCTGTGGTGACTGAGAGCAAGATATCTTTCGTTGAAACGACCCTGTCAATTTCGACCTTGCTGAATTTATTATTCATTTCTCGATGAATTTGAGCAAACAGCGGGCTTCCTTCGTCTGTCTCATACCACTGCTCGGTGGGTGTGTCTCTGGGGGGTGTACCGACGTCTCCTTCCAGCTTTGTATATCTTTGCCTCAAAACATCATTTTCCTCATTGAGTGCCTGCAATGCTTGATTTAACCGAGATATTTCTTGATGCGCATTTAATTTTAACCCCTTCTCCAATTCCTTGCACTTTTGGTCGTAGAAATCCCGTTCTTCGACTAATTTAGTCACCTTGCTTCTCATCAATCTCATGTCTTGCATGTGATGGGAATGGCTGGTGTTTTCAGAGGTCAAGAGCTCTTGTTCGAGTTTCATGGTCACCAGTTCACTCTCCAGCTTGTCTTTTTCGCTTTGTATTTCGCGAGCGTTGTTGCTAAATTTCTCCATTTGCCGCCTCATTTCATTCTGGAAGAAAAATCATTTATACATATTTTATAGCGCCCAAACATTCATGAAGGCATGTACGGTGGCACATATGACTACTAGTCTGTTGCCTCTAATGAACGATTTAATTTCATAACCTATAGTAAACGAGCACACAAAACGTTCTTCAGTAGAAGAGATAGCGAAACTGTTCTGCTAATTCTGTGTGCCTTATTTTAATTGTTTGAAATTAATAAAATGTCGCTTTATGCCTTTATTGCTTGTGTTTGATTTGAAATTAGGTAATAAGCAGGTAAGTGCCCTTTCATTTTTGTTTCTGCCCTTTTTTAAAAAATATGCCCTTTTGATAACAAATCGCACCCCTTGCCCTGAGCAACTTCCGGCATCCCTGCCTGACCGCCTCGCGTGGCGTCTAGCTCACCATGTTTCGCTCGTGTCCCCACACGAAAATATCTATCGCGTTTCTTCATATTTTTCACCTCACGTGTTGCTGTTGAGTGGTTTTCTCAACATGTGCGGTGAAAATGCATAGCTGAGCTAACCGCCACAAGAGGCAAGTTTCTCTCTTCAAGTTTCTTTCTCTCAAGTTTCGGCAGGCTTCAGCCGCTGAGTTTCGCCTACTGTAGTTCGCCAGAGTGTAGTGGTCTGACTTGATCTGCTAGATACCTTTTCCTGTTGATTTTCTCTCGTCAACTCGCGTACTTTTGTTTTGCTCTCGTGCAACTCTTTCTCCATCTCGTCATTAATGGTCGACAGTTCTGCGTAATGCTCTTTCAGTTTTGTCAACATTTCCTCCCCCTTTGCACGGTCTTCTTGTATTTGCTGATTGGTCGACTCAAGCTCGTCTATCTTGCGGTTTCCAAGATCGTTTTGCTGGCTGAGATTTGCCAGTTCTTCTTCCAAGCGCTGAATACGCTGTTCGTTTTCACTCTGTTGATAACAATTAGAAGTGTTTGATCAGAATAGAGCCACTGCATTTGACAGCTTCCTCTTGTCATTTGAATAGAGAAAAGTTTGCTATCAAAATTCCTTAAATTTTCGAAAACAATTTCTTAAAGCTATGTAGCGCTAGCCTATAATATATTGATCTTCAGGGAGGAAAAAGGACGGAGGTAATTTTGCCATGTTGGGTGAAATAAGCATTGCAAACAAGAAAAATCCTTTGTCAAATCCATCTGTTATGGCAGAGCATCTAAGACGAAAAAGCCTAGCAAGCAATTGGAGATTTACCTCTTTGCTCTCATACACTTGAATCTTCTCCAAAGCTTCGTTGCAGGAATCATTATTTTCATCTAAATTTTTTCGAAGTTGATCTACTTCATTTTTCGGCAACTGTTGAATAGGTGCCTGAGTTTCTCCCGTCGTTTCCTCACTGTCAAGAAAAAGAATTACCTTATTTAAATTTAATTAACTAGTTCATTCCAGAAAGGTCTACTATATCATGGAAGTGAAAGACACAGGTGCCACCAGCCTAGACCTAGGCCTTCTATTTTCATTATTTTTTTAATATTCAGCGCTTTTTCACATGAGAAGACTGGGACTGGCCCGAAATTGACCAAACCTGCCAAAGCCAGCCGAGTAAAGGCCTAGGTCTAGACTGAGGTACCACTACCTTCTCTCTTGTAATTCTTTGATTATTTCACAAGCTCTCTCCTTCTCAGACACAAACTCGGCATTCTTTGCTTCCAATTCAACACATTTATTCAGCAGTGCTTCTTTTTCATTTCCAAGTGTGTTTATGACTTCTTCGTGTCTACTGTTCTGCTCTTGCAATTCTTTGACTTTTTCACAAACTCTCTCCTTCTCAGACACAAACTCGGAATTCTTTTCTTCCAATTCGACACATTTGTTCTGCAGTGCTTCTTTTTCATTTCCAAGTGCGTTTATGACTTCTTCGTGTCTACTGTTCTGTTCTTGTAATTCTTCATCTTTTTGTTTCAAACCTTCTTTCAGATTTTCTATTTCGGTGAGAAAGTCATCCTTTTCATTTGTCCATTTTAACTCTCGCTTGTTGTGGATATCATAATCCTAAATTGACAACAATGTAATATTTAAAATCTGAAAATGAGGATCGGATCGGATTTCAAGACCACTTTGGAAAAGTAGCTTATTTTCTTAATCTATTAAATTTAATTAACTGTTGATCAAAACTTCATCCTGTCCTAGGACTTGATCAAACTTCATCCAGTCCTAGAACTTGATCAAAGTTCATCCAGTCCTAGGACTTGATCAAAACTTCATCCAGTTCTAGAACTTGATCAAACTTCATCCAGTCCTAGGTCTTGATCAAAACTTCATCCAGTTCATGAACTTGATCAAAACTTACTCAGACCTAGGAATGAAAATGTATTTAATCGCGTGTACCACATACCCACTTTTTAGAAGAACCACAGTGCTGCGTTTGGTAAGTCTGCGTTTGTAATTAAGTCCGCGTTTCCGTGTTTGTTAAGTCCGCGTTTATTAAATCCGCGTTTTCCACGCTTGATAAAATCTAAAATTGAAGTACGCAATCGTTCCGGGGAAAGTCTTACTTGGAACTCATTTTAAATTCCGCGAAAAGGGTTACCAGTTTGCTATAAACATCAGCAACTTTTATCAGTGTCTCTTTGTTTCTGTCAACGATAAGCTATCGTAATTTGGATCAAAATCGCGTAAAGAATACGTTCAAAAATATTACAAACATACTTTCGACTGAAGCAACGAAGGTCTTCATGATCATGTACTGTAGTGTGGGAGGTGCAGTCCACTCTGTTGCAATTCTCAGCGAAATTGAAACAAATCATGCACATTAGCCAATCACATGTATAAACACAATATTTAGACGTATGCATATATATATATACATACATATACATATACATATACATATATATATATATATTTATATATATATTTTGCTCTATCAATTAAATTTGTTATTGAGCACTCTTTTTGTACAACGGACAACGATTTATTATTGTATATATATATATATATATATATATATATATATATATATATATATATATATATATATATATATATATATATATATATATATATATATATATATATATATATATATATATATATATATATATATATATATATATATATATATATATATATATATATATATATATATTATATTATATTGTTGGAACTCGAATAAAAGGAATGGCAAACGAAGCAATACAATGCTAATCGTATATGAAGTATCTGCCATAACTCAGTGTTATAGAGCCGACACCCTGACATCTAAACCTAGTACAATAAGCAGCCATGGTTTCCGTCTGAGCTGCCCGGAAAAATGCTTCGATTGTTTGAGAAAAGGTCCTTCGTTTGCAGATTTGTAAGGTTAATAACTGCCATCTTGTGTGGGTCGCGATGACGTGATTGAAGGATTTAATCTCGGATGTCACTGATTTCAGTGACATTCGAGGTTAAATCCTTCAATCACGTTATATCACAGGAATGAAGACCTCGATGTTTTGAGCTTTTCATATAGTTCAGACACGAACCACGACGTATTACCTCAAACCAAAACCAAACGGCAAACGCCTAGGCTTCAGCTTGAAGGGACTTTCCCGCAGAACTCATTTAACTTTTCTCTTTCCAAAACAGTCAAATTTGACGTAAAATTCAACGAAACCTCGCTAAGATATCTTCTATATTACTTTTTTCTTAAAATTACCTTATTAGTCTCACGATTTCTTGGCTTAGGCTTCGGTTTGTCTCGGGCAGACATCTCTGCTTCGCTGTTTGTTTCCATATTTTTGCTTTCGTTTTGTTCCAAGAATGCCCTTTCGTTTGCTTCCGTAATTATTTCAAAATCGTCGAAATATTCCGAGCGTTTGCTCTCGCTCATTGTCATTGAAAACTTCTATTCGCAAGACATGGTATTGTGCTGGTATTAAATTGTGCTCCTAAGGCAAGCTGACTAGTCTGTCTGAGGGAGCCATCGCTGACTAAGGCCAAATAAAAAAAACAACTTGGTTAGCGTCACCGCCCGCCTCTCGATTCATGCCGCCTATGTATAATTAAAAAATTTTTATGTAAATCTTTTCGTTTTACAGTTTAAAACAGTTTAATATTTGAAATTTTATTTATTTTAATAAATAATATTTGAAATTTTATTTATTTTAATATTTGAAATTCGCGCTATATACTGATCGATATAGGAGCGCGTTGGGCTTGGGCCTTGGGTACAAGCAGGTTACAAGGTTCTTATAGCAAAATGGCGGCCTTCGCAACATCAGTACAAAAAATATCACCGATATGGTGGAAAAACCGCCTCTGAAAATTTGTGAGAGTGTGACGCTAACCAAGTACTTTTTTATTTGGCCTAATGTCTAATGATTTTCAATTTTTCATTCAGTGTACATTGAATATATATAAAGCGCTGTGACGTAAGGGGAAAAACATTACGTCATTTATTGCTGAAAGCACAAACCTTGACCCCAATGACAAGTCTGACAACACATTCCTACCCGATTGGGTGTATAACATAAAGCACACAGAAGAAAGTTCCGAGTTAATCGCCTCGCGCGGCGTCTAGGCTCAGCATGTTTCTCTCGTGTGCGGGACAGTTTTCGTGAGAATTCACCTCTCGAGGCCTAAGTACAATACTCTATCCTTGATCTTGACTCAGCAGTAAGGGCAAGCATACTTATATAACCGCCTACAATCAGTTTCAAAAGTCTTGGGACAGATGCCACAAAACCTTTGAATTTCAACAAACGTCAATCCTCCCGCCCCCTGTTCAATGTTGTGTTCCATTTCTTGTCTCGGTTTGATGTGTTTTGGTTGAAGCAACATTGATTGGGGTGGAGGGAGGGGAGCGGTATTGTGTAAAAAACTGTAATGATCCACTTAGAATCTAAAACTACATTACAACAACTTCTGAAAGTGATTGTAGTTATATTCTGCAATGACAAAACATTCTGTGTTGCAAGACAGTTGATTTATTCGGGGACTCGTAAGACAAAATATACCTTTGTTGCCTTCACAAGAGACTTGAATGTATTTTTTCTTTATACCTGATTTTTACCGGAGTTTCACAGTTGGGAGGGGGGGGGGGGGAGGGTTACACCCCCACACCCGGTCGCAACGTCCCTCCATTCATCCATATAAATATCTATCAAATTTTATCCTTAATTATGTTTTACTAAAAGAGTTTGGTTTCGTCGGAACTCTCAAGTCCAAGGATACAATTTACGCCAAATTTAGCAGGAAATTGGATTGGAAATTCAATTTGAAAACATAAAAACGTAAATTTAATTTATTTGTCATTGATACTACCATAAATAAATAAGTGTTAGTTCTGTGTGATTGCAAATAATAAATAGAATATCAGAATCAATTTGTTCTCGGTCTGCCTTTTTATTATACATTCCCTGGTACTACAGGAACATAGGGTCTCATTAACATACTGTATATCTGTACCTTGGAGGGGACCTTCGAGACCAGTCTGAATTAAGGCCCATACAGACCGGACGCGATTTGGCAAATTGTCAGTTTTCAATGACATTTAATTTCATTTTTCAATGTTTTTCAGATATTTGGAACCATTTAAGTACTGTTTAAAGCACGCGTAGGAGTGTTTTATCACGCGTAGGAGTGTTTTATCATTTTATCACTAAAGCAAACAAATCAACACAAATGGAAAAGCATTATAACTACTGCATGCATCATTGCGTTAGTAACGTAGGATCAATTTGCCAGTTGAGAACTAATTTTTATCCATCTTGTAATATGCCGTAAGGCCCGTAATCACCATGCCTGACCTTTGATAGTTGTCCAGTGAGCTTATGATCATGACATCGCTCTGGTATGCTTCGTGCAGCAACTTCTATTCCACTATTACAACCAATTTCCAACAAGTCAAAAACATCATACAATGTGTCACATGGATCTAGTAGAAAAGTACAGGTTCACTTGCCTCTCCCCACTGTTTGGAATGGATTTTTGTCCTTGTTGCTGATACACAATGGTAATAAAAATTTGTACACCTATTAAAAGCCCAGGAAACAGAAAGGCCTGCGCAATATTTTAATATCGCCCGCGCATTTTGCGATAATGTACCCAACTTCGTACCCAACCGGGAGCCATTATGCATCAATCATAAATGCTAAAAAATATCTTTAAAACTTCATTCAATGACAGTAAATTTAAGATATAAGTAAAAAGAGCATAATCCCTTCTTTAATTGTTTTGTGGTTCATTCAGCTCAGACGACAAATCTGCTTGCATTTCAACTACAAAAATCATTAAAATCTACTTCTATAAATTAATAATATTTCGAATTTTCATTCTGCCATAATTTGTTTGAATTTTGTTTCATGTAAACCTACCGAATTCTGGGTATGACGGGGTGGAATTAATATAGAAGTGCGGGTTTACCCGGCCACAGAGGTTTTGATAGGGGTATATGGACTCTGCGAATATGCGACAAAAATCTTGTTTGATAATGTGGATTTGCCGCAAAATTTGAGACGGTTCGAGCTAAGACACGACTACATAACGAAGAATTTCTTTCTAAAAATTCCGTTTCCGAGACTATTCCCATGGAGTGTAGCCGTGCAAGGCGCGAGAAAATTTAATGCTACATTTTTGTTTACGACTTGACAATTATAGTTAACTATATTTTATACACTATGGATATTACTTCTTTAGGATTATGTTACTTCTGTATAATAATTATTATAATTATTACTTATTCCAATTTCCAATGAAGGTGTTTCTCTTAATTGCAAAGTTTACGCTTATAGAATCAATACTTATGTCTTACGAATACATTGAAGTATTTAAGAAGTAGGTTGAAAGATGCAACTAAGTCTAAACTTACCAAGAAGTTGATACCGTATTCTTGTATCAGCACAATGCTACACAGCTATCACAAGAACTGACTATATTAATCCAAATTATAATACTCTACCCAGTTATGCCCTTGACAGTCAGTGACTATACTTGCCATTAAACCTGTTCATAATCAACCAAGATAGGGTGCAAAAAACTCGGCAAATTTCAAAGCTTGACGAAAGCCTGGATGAAACGAGAACGAGAGTACATGAGAGTTGGCATCACGTGATCTTGGTTAGCTGTTCTTAAAGCTTTCCCAACACTATCATGTATTCTATTTAAGTTAAGACATAGTTGGAACATTCATCAAACCTTTATTTTGTTAATCTAGAGCTTGAAATGTCCCCTGTAATAATGCGCGACTGCTAACTTTCATCAACTCTCACTCGTTCCGTCGTTCGAGCGAGGCTTAAGGCAGTGGTTAGCCTGCGTGTCAGGCTTTCAAGCATAGAGCCTGACACACAGGCTAGGCTGTGGTCTGATTTCAGTTAATACTGATACACTAAAAATGTTTGCATAAGTCGAGTTTGCAAACTATACCATGGTTGATTATTGCCTCGGTTTATTTTTGCTTTTCCACAAATGCCTAACCATACACCAGTTCACACAGCATCTTGATAAGCTCTGTGCAAAGTTTTGATGGTGCGTTGCTGTTAAAAGACATCCTCATTTCTTTGAATTTTCCACCGTAGTTCACCCCAGCCGCAGCAGAAGGGAAATTTCTGGGGAAGTGAACTTTGAATCTCTCCCGTTGATCTGTGGTGACTGAGAGCGAGATATCTTTCGTTGAAATCGCCCTGTCGATTTCGACCTTGCTGAATTTATTATTCATTTCTCGATGAATTTGAGCAAACAACGGGCCTCCTTCGTCTGTCTCGTACCACTGCTTGGTGGGCGTGTCTCTGGTGGGTGTATGTCTGGGGGGTGTATCTCTGGGGGGTGTATCTCTGGTACTCGTGTCCATTCTCTGCAACCAAAATGATTCATTGTAAAATTAATTCTAAAAATAGCTTTTTATTGCTAGTTCACTAAAATTCTAGCCAATTTGAATAACACTAAACAGTAGAACTGACCATTTTAATAATAATGGTCTTTTAGAGTAGCCTCTTATCGCTTGTTCACCAAACTTTAGTTGATTTTATGTAATTTGTAATATAGGTGAAATATATATATGTTATTTTCCCGCATGGGAGGTCCGGATAGAAAAATATTTTGTGGAGGTCTCAAAAACGGGCCGAAGACCGAGGGACGTTTTTGAGACCGAGACAAAATATTTTTCTATCCGGACCGACCTAAACGGTAAATAACGTATTTATTTTTTTGTCGAAGACTCAGAGACAAATGGCAACGGTTTTATTAGATTAAGCACATAGAAAACAAAACAATAAAAAAATTTTGATATTTAATTATTTTACTTTAGAAAACAAACAATTCAATTAAAATACAGTACAATTATTTTATCCATCATTAAAATTATTTCAAAATTACATATTCATATATTTCAGTTTTAAAACAAACATACAAAAAATTTTTGCTTTGCTTCTGCCATTACGTATAGGATTCCGGACCGTGGTCAAATATCGTAAAATTCCGCCCGCTGCTGCAGCCAATCAGATTGCAGAAAACGCTAGGATTCCGCCCGCTGCTGATTTGCAAAAAAATAAAATATAAAGTTCTTTGAAAAGTTCGAAAAGTTCAATGTTCTTTTAAGTTCTTTCTTTGGTGTAATATAGCCACAGTAATTGGACCTTGCGTAATGTAAACATAATTCAGCCTATGGCTGCAAGGTTTATCAATTAAAAACATCTATCTATCTACTTGTTGACGGGATTGTAAATGGAAATTAATTTTTATACATTTATTAGGCCTAACCAAGGGCAGGGGCGAAAATGCAACTACATGCAGGCCCTATGCCAATCGAACCTGTGATAATGGTGCAGCGCACTAACCAACTGAGCTCATTGAACTATAAATAAACTGGAAGGCTAACTCAGGGGGGGGGGGGGGG